ATTATGATCAGACGTTTTCTAAGCTACGTTCTGGCCGAAGTAGTAAGTTGAAGTTAAGATCGACAGGAAAGGAACTTTAACTTAAAATTTAACTGTTAATAAAATTAACATAATCCTTACAATGTTTAGAATCTCGGACAATTGTATTGCAGACAGATTCGACTTGATTCTTATTAATATAGTCTTGCATGCATCCATGCTCTGAATCTGGATTAACAGACAGTTTTCTGCGTAGGATATGCAGACGTTTCAAAGATACTTCAATAATTGTCGGAAGATAGGATAACATCTTGTTTCCATGGCAACTTCATAACCCAACGTCCCACTGCTGTTTTATACGAACTGTAGAAACTTTTCGAAAATTCTGCATCGTTAGCGGACATTTCCTTATCTTGAGTAAGTTCAATGCCACCGATTTCTAAATCAAAATCGTCTAACATCTTCATACATCATCTCTCTAATCAATAACTATTAACCTTAGCTACATTCGAGCTAGATTTTAGCTTTTAAGGTCCATGTTTGCAAATTTGTTTAATTTAAACGTTATTTAAAATATAGTATATGTATATATGTATTCACAAGGTATATTATCAAATAAAATAAGCAAGTTAATAAAATCAGTTGCTTTTAATTTAATGTCTAAACACTCAGTTCAGTTATTTTAAAAATTAAAAGAAATAATAATAAGTAAATACTTTTGAATAGTGCTAACTTTTCTCATCTCGTCATGCAGTTTTCAATAGCTGGCATGGAGCTTCGTACCATATCAAGATTAACATAAAAAAAATTCCTTAGCTTCGAACTTAGTGTGACTGAAAACTAACTCATATTCTTTTACATGACTCTGCTAAGTGCAAAATTTGAAATTAGCTCATTTAATCTAAACGAGAAGTATTTTTCTCCCATAAACAAGAAGAGATCTACCTTTTCTAAATTCGTCGATTCTCATGAATATTAAAAAAGAACTACTGGGAGGGGGGAAATTATTTTACCCTTTACTAACACCTGACGAACCTTTAAACAAACCTTCCTACAAACATACCTATCATTCCTTAAAACTAACTTCTTCGAAATGGGCCTTGATCTAAAAATAATGTTATATTCATTTTATGAATAATGAGACGTTTAATGGAAAGCATGAAACATACCGATTGAATGTTACGAAGGGAAACTAACTTGCGTTCAAGTTACAAAAGATAAACAAAAATTTACTAAAACTCAATGCAGCAGCCTCGTTTGCCGGAATTCAAACCCGTGTCGAAGTACCAGTGTTTAGCGATTTTACCACTCGACCACTGATGGTCTCTGGTTTTATAAATAATACGTTGGTATAATATAACATCCAAGTATTCCGTTATTAAAAGTAGTACTATTACGTGTAATTCTCCCCATAACAGCGTTAGATGAGTTCATTGGATTTTTTAATATCATACTGACGTAAAACTGTCGGATAAATCTTTTCCATGAGCTTTTTAATAAAACACATTGCACTAACTTAGAAAACTGTACATTACACTAACTTAGTTAATTTGAACCAAAAATTTTCTAATTAAGTGTGGATACATTTAGACGTTTATATTATGGTTGTAATAAAACTGAATCCAAGTGATTTAATCGTAAAAGGAAACATTCGATGAGTACGTTCGAATTTCGAAATGATAACAGCTGGAAGTTTCTGCCATTTTTAAGCGTTTAGATTTGAAAAGTTGTTTATCTCCTACATTCCTACCAAATTAATAAAGTATGAAACATGATGCTTCCTAATTATCATAGTACATCACTTTAGTGTTGTTATTGATCCGTGTTAAAATCCTTGTTGACTTACTAGCTTGGTTACTAAGGCCGGTTGTTAAGACTTCTGGACCTTGTTTAAGCAGTTTCGTTTCTTTCAGTGTCATTCAAAATGAAATAAATGAACTAGATCCATAGCTAGATGAAGAATAAATGTCAGTAGTTTGTTTGCTCTTATTATTACCTAGCTAGTGTAAAGAAGAGTAAATATGCTTAACTGAATCCCTTTACGCACTGACCAATGATTGGTGAGCAAAATATAATATGTTAAACAGATGAGCAAATACAAAACTCAAATTGACTGACTGCTTATTGTTCTTCAAATAAAACTTCAACAACTTTCTTAGTTTTATTTTATGTGCATAATTTTAATGCAATTTACAAAAGGCCTCGAAAATCAATAGCTATTTTTCTATGTAAACTTCATGATTATTTCGCACTTAAAAATTTTGTGTAAGTATTATGAAAACATGCGAAAAGTATATATGAAAAGAAATTCCAATTGAATTGAAAAATAATACGTTTTTAGCGACTGTAGTTGTAATCAGTCATTTTAAATTTCCTCAGTTTCATACCATTAAAATGGATCAACGTCGTTCTTCTTCTTTTTCCCATTTTTATTATTAATATTAGCAGCAGCAGTAATAGCAGTATTGCATAAGAATTTACTGTAAAAATAATATTTACATTGATTAATGTCTTTCATGCGGTGCGATTTGTTATAAAACACTTAAATTGTTAATTTTATTGATCACTTCTGAAAGCCTTCGGTAATTAATCAATTGTTTTTATTATTCTATTTCATAATCTAAATCTTCCTAAGGAGAGGGAAGTCATTTAGTTTTTATGTGTCATTTAATTATATTTCATTCACAATTGATCTTTGACATTGAAAAGACATTACATTGGAGTAACAGTTCAAGTGATTTATAGATCATTCATTTAACATTTATCAGAATGATTTTTCCCTTTTTTATGCTTCATAGAATTATATACAAAAATATGCTCAAGCTTGAATACCTTCAAGCTTGATTATCCCCATGTGTAACGTGTATACGAGCCAGTTTCCTATAGACAGTACTCAACTAAGGCGTCCCTCCTGTTAGGCAGATAGTCCTTGAGTGCTTTCCCGTAATAAAATAAACCAAACTACACACAAGGCAAAAGGTGCTTTGTGGTATTTTGTTCCTAATTTGTAACATTTTAGAATACTCAAAATAAAGAAATCAGGAAACAAATGTTTTTGAATCCATTTACTTGCCCCTACTCTCGACGTTTTGTGAAATACATACGATATGCAAAGACAATACGCTTCGCAATATCATACCCGAAAAGTTATGCATTGAAGAGTTGAAAGACATAAGAAAGGTAATGGATTATATCTACCCTGGGTGAGCGATGACATGCCGTGTATTTCTAAGTATACCACCTCATAAAAATTAAGCACTTATTCATTTTTCTTGAAATTTTATTTCAGAAGTGACTCTGAATATTAAGAAGAAGCAGAAAAAGGTGCTTAAGTATTGTCTTGTTGACCATTTTGACAAAAACCGTTCTCCAAACAGGATGATTTAGGGCTAAAAATAGATAAGCGTGGCGTAAAGTTACTCATAAGATTTTCGCTTTCATTTTATGTAACCCCTACTTTTTTTAAAATTTTATAAAATGCATCGTCATTAGGAACTACATGGAAAGGGATTGATTCCCAAAATGGAGAACTGTTTAAAGGAAACTTACTCATGTCCACGTTACACATGGGGGAAAACTACGAAAATGCCCATGCAGCCAGATCTTTGGCCGGCACTGGAGCCCCAGGCCGAATTACTAGGGTTCTTCGGCTTTTATCTCTCGTCCGCAGGCAGACCAGGTAACCCAAATTTATTCCAAATAAGCCAATGTGGAATTATTCGCCTTGCTTTGTTTTTGAGCTAAAGCTGTTCTGGATCCTTGAAAGGCGTACAAAACTAATTAATTACGAGCTGCAGCATTTTAACGTTTTAAATTTAATACAGATACATAATTTTATAGATCCCGATACTGGTGCGCATGCGGAAAACATTATGGCTCACATTTTAGTACATTTATGTGTCAGGTACTCTCAAAGCTTGAGCTCATATCTATTTCAATGTTTTTACATGCTGTATACATAATTTGTTTCAATTGCTTATAGAAGTAAATAAACAATGAGCTCTGGTTATCCAATTAAATAAGGATTCCTTTAAAGTTTCGTCGGAATGACTGGCTTAATTTTGATGAGTATCACTACGAAATTTTGCTTGTGACGACAGCCAACTTTAATGGTCGACGTGAAAATGAATCAGTACCGTAATAATGCACGAAGTTTAATTTTAAAAACTTCGTGCATTATTACGGTACTGATTCATTTTAGATGATATGAGATCGAGAAAGACTTTGAGCTATATGTCTTAATAAGTCTACTGTTAAGTCTACTGTTATTATAACTGGAAATTTTTTTGCAGTTGTTTTTTAATCGATAGATTTTTTTAAGGTTCGGTTTTCGTTCATTTGATGACAGCAAAGTACACGAGGGCTGTCTCCCTACAGGAAGGGTGCCTTTGTGAAGGATTTTTTAAGGGAAACAGGTTCATGTCTATGTTAAACATGGGTAAAATTGGAAAAAAAACCACAAAAATGCCCATAATGGAACCGAAGCCTGGAAATCGAACCGATGTCGAGCTACTAGTATTCAGCGAATTCACCGCTTGGCAGATGGTGGACATTGTATTTTGAGACCCAGATACTTCACGTTTGAAAATTGCTATGAAAATATGTGCCTTCTTCTAATATTCCGTTGTTTTTTCTCCATGTAAGAACATGCTTGATTCGCATCTTCATTTTCATTGCTCTTTTTAATTACAGTTTAAGAATATTTTACTTTGTAAGAACAAAAATCACAGTATTCGTTCCAAAATTTGTTGATTTGCACTATTCTCAAAACAGACTACGTTATGCAAAAATTTAGGTTCAGAGTGATGAGTTGTTGGATAACAGTTCTTTCGGGATAGTTTTCGATTTTTAAAATTCAATTTAATTTAAAACTGCGTAAACGCCTGTATAGCAAACTGCAATGTTTCGTATTGATTGCATTAATGAATTATTACATAAAAAGCATTTAAATGAAAGGAATTATAATTTTTAAATGTTTTTAGAATATTATGAAGAGAAGTAGCTGAATTACAAATTCTTACTTGTTTGATGAGCTGAATCATCAGCCGTGTTTACGTTCTGGTTTTCGTCAGTATTTGTAGAACTTTCTGTTCCTTCTGGCTCTTCATTCTTAAGCTCACTATCTTCCTCTTTCTTGGTGGTTTCATCTTCAGGATTTGAGGTATTTTCTGCAATTTTTGGCTCTTCACTCTCCTCTGGTGCATTAGCGTTTGCATCAGATTTTATATCACGCACATTTTCTTTATCTTGCTCAATTTCATTTTCATTTAGTTTCTCGTTTTCATTCTGGCTGTCCGTTGCATCATTTTCAACTTGGTGCTTGTCTGATTTTTCTTTTTCATCGGATATTTCTTCGTCCTCGGTAGTAAGATTTTTGCTTTCGGTTTCATCTATACCCTCCTTTGATTTTTCCTGTTCTTCAATTTTGCTTTTATCTTCTTTTTCCTCAGATGCGTCTTCTGTATTCTCTAAGCCGTCATTCTTTCCGCTTGGATGCTCTTCTTCATGTGACTGCGTGTCATCGGCATTGGCTAATTTCCCGCTTCCTACTTCAGCAACTGTTTTTCCTTCGAAATTTTGGATGCTGCTTATGTTTTCTCCTGATTTTTCTTCACTATTAGTTTCAGTTTCATTTTTGTCTGCAGTATCAGCATTTTTATTTGCATCTGGACTATTTTCTTCGTTGGCTGTTTCTTCTGTATGATTTCCATTTTCATCTTTCTTCTCTTCAGTACAAGATGTTTTCACATCTGAGGAAGTATTGTTATCAGCCTCAGTTGCATCATCGTTATGATTAACATCTTCCTTCTCATCTTCTGCACCAGATTTTTCATTGCCTTCCTCATCTTCTCTGTCACTAACGTTATCCACAGCTTCTGATTCTTTTGGCGGCCCCTTGTCTGTTTCCTCTTCGGTACTTTCTTCTTTCGTATTTTCTTCATTCTCGGACAATTCTTCTTCATTCGAATTTTTAACATTTTCTGAATTAGGCTTAACGACTTCTATTTCTGTCTTTCTCGAGTCTTCATCGTCATCTTCATCTGTAGTGTTACTAGCATCTTCATTTCCTTCATCGATATCAGAGTTGGCTTCATCATTTTTATGTTCTGTAACTTCATCTGAGGGATTATTATCATTAATGTCAATCGCGTTAACCGCGTTTGTAGTTTCATCATTATCAGCCACTTTTGTATCTGCGTCATTATCAGTCGGATTTTTATCTTCACCATGATCTTCAAGTCCTTCGTTAGTTTCAGAAACAGCTAAATGTGTCTTTAGTTCCTCATCTTCATCTACATTATTTTCATTTTTATCATCAGATTCATGTTCGTTTTGAGCGCTTTCGTCATTGGTCATTGGTTCTGCACTTTCATTCAGAGGTTCTTTAGTTTTATCAGTGACTTCCGCTGATTTAACTTCATTTTCTTGACTTCCTTTAACGGCTTCATTATCTTCTATTGCTTCGTTCGATTTATCTGACTCTGTGCTCTCAAGTTTCTGATTAACGTTTTGACTACTATCTTCCTGAGATTTTAATTCAGAATTCTCTTCCCTGGCTTTATTTCCAGTTTTTTCTTCTGTTGTTAGAGACTTTCTCTTATTTATAGCATTTTGACTGTTTTTCGAAGCTCTGTCAGACACGGAACTAGAATGCATACCATCAAGATTAGATTTTAGTGGTGTTTTAGAAGAGTCCGATATTGATTTTCTTGGTGAATGTTCAGATTTTGCACTTTGTAAATAAAAGTCTGCAGTTCTGCCTTTCTATAAATGAAAAAAAGAAATAAAGAGTATTTTACTCAATAATTTACAAATAAATAAACTATTATAAATTTGTAATTTGATTGCTTGCAAAAGTTAACCTTGCCATGGACAATTAAAGCATTTATTAAATTTTTTTATAAATAACATTATGTGTGGAGAACATCAAATCACAAAAAAAATTTATAAAGTAACACATCACAAGGATGCAACAATTTACATTGAGTTATTATGTGGGAACTTTTCTATTATTATCTTATTTTCAATTATTGTCTATCTAATTATTTTATCTCTCCGTTTTAAACTTTTAAACATATATCAGAAACAATCTTCGAATGTCTCGATTTTTGATAATAATTTAAGAATGAGTTGCTTTAACTGAAACAAAGTTTCTCTTTTTTATTAAATAAACATCGGATCTTATTTTTGTTATCTTTAAATTTAGAACAGTTAAACCAAGAAAAATTAAATAAATTTTCAATTTAAATACTTTCAAGTTTTACTTAAAATTAGCATTTTGATAATAGTCGTTTTATAATTTTAAAAGCTAGTTTAAAAATGTTTTTAGCTTAATGATTTTTCTCATTCGCACTGCCTATTTTTTAATGCATTAAGTGTTGCGAGTTATTTAATTTAACTTGTAGAGTTCCTCACTTTGGAATTTTAAGTTCATGTTGGAAGTGAAGAATCTAAGAACTGATAAGCGAATAATCGCTTGAGTTCGGTGACAAGAAACAACAAGATAGAAGGGTAACTAACCCTTATTATTCCAATAAGATTTAACAAAACTCCGCCTGGGAGTGTACAAGCAAAGCCCGCACTTGGACTTGAACTTAAAAAGACTAAGAATTAAACTAAAACTAAGATTAACTAAAGAAGTAATAGCCGAAGCTATCAAGGTTCAAATCGAGGTGACCCCTTAACTTATGTGACTACGAAGCTTAGCAAGGGCCTGAGTAGGGCCGAGCGTAATAACAGCTTTGAGAAAGAGAGTGACCAAAAAGGCAGACGCGCGTAAATCAGAAACTCTGATTCTCTCTGACTCAGTAAGTATTTTCGTGGTTTAAATACCGCTCCTCCTCATTAAATATTCAACAAGATTCCAAAACTAATTCTGGCCGGAAGTAGTAAGTTGAAGTTAAGAATTTGACAGGAAAGGAACTTTAACTTAAAATTAAACTGTTAATAAAATTAACATAATTCTTACAAACTAATAGTTAATTTTTAGTTAAAATAATTTTCCTTTTAGTCTTCCAGAATGTTAATGAGCTAGCACGAGTGTATTCAAATGAGGTAGAAAGAAGTGCTATTTAAGGGAAAGTTTTGGAAGGTGATTTCAGTTTGCTAGAGAGTGCCTGTTATGTCTGCTTGTAAGCCACGTTGCTAATTTGAATTACTAGCAATTAGATGGCTGTAGTATTGAGAGCTTCTAGCCATAAAGCGTGTTTCCGCCGACTTCTACGAGTCAGACCTTTCTCGTGCCTTAAATTTTCCTTTGAGACGTTAAGCTAAATTTACTACATTTTATTTTAAGTACATCGTTACCTATTTTGAGTTAAGCCAGAAATGTTGGCTTTGTGTAAGACTATGTGAAGTTACAGTGAGTGAATAAAAGGTCTTTACATCCTTCTTCTGATTTTCTGTTGTAATTAAGACCTGGGGATAATTAATCGTTCAGTCTTTTAGAGCTCGTAGATTGTACTCCTCAAGAATACGAAATTCTGTAAAGTATTTAAATAATATATTACTTGCATGATTTTGTAAGAATTACATTTTTAGAGAGGTTGTAGTAATCCATCGAATTGCTACAAAACATTATGTTGAAGCTGTGATAGAAACGATTTCTTCTTAGGAATATTTCTAAAGAAATGTTACATGCACAGTCGGAGGGGGGACCACAAAGCTCTAAATCGTAGTTAACATGTTGCGATGCGTGGCACAGTTACCAACTGTAAAGACTAAAATCAGAAATTCACCATCTGTAAAGACTTAATTTTATTGAGTTGACAATATTGGATGATATTTTTATTTAGGAATATAACTGATATTAATTTAGAAGTGAAACAACAAAAATCAGCGTTATATTTTCAAATTTTCACAGGACTAGTTTCGATGATTTTACCGAACCATCAACCTCAGATGCAAAAGCGCAAATGAACGAAGTAAGATATAATGAGATAAGATAAGTTAGCCTGGACAGGAGATAAGCTAATGGCGCCATCTGTTGATGAAACCAGAACTAAAATATAATTTTTTAAGGGCTGAAGCAAGATGGATTGGAATTAGGGTCGTTAACTAGAATAGAAAGAATTTTTTGATGTGAATACGAAAAACCACCAATGGAAGATGTTTTTTGAATAATTTTGGCAGCAGAAAAATTTAAAGTGTGATTTTCGGACCAACAATGTTGGGCAACAGAAGACTGTTGTCTTCTGTATTAATAATATACACATATTTCAGCGAATTATATTTGTTTTCAGGCACTTGTGTTTTAGAAATGTAGTTAATGAAATCACCCGTTAAATATTAAAAAACTGATATTAAAACTGTTTCACCTACACTATTGCTTATTTCTTTCAAAATCTATCTAAAATACAAAGCCTGAAACCGTTTCTTAGAATAAATAATGTTTTCAAAAAACATGATGGAAATAAACTCACATAGTTATTCAGGTACTTAAAAGACACAGTTTATATTTAGCTAAAGTATGCAATTAACAGGACGTTTAAAAGCTACAGAAAGTTTAATTCTTAATACTATGTTCTCTAGTTAAAATTATACTCTTTGTGCTGGTATGGATTTAGCTAACTTTTTCATGCAGAGGTGTTGAAGTTTTTTCATTCAAAATTACTTCGGTTTGCAGAAATGCTACGTTTCCTTCTTTTCCTGTCCACTTTGTTCCACATGTATTCCGCAATGTTTAAATCTATAAATAACGAAAAGGTTCTGATAAATTTAGCTCAGTAATAGATATAAGCCATCATTTAAAGCTATATGTTTAGGATCTTTATCCTAATGGAATTAAATGCAATTTGCTTTTCAATGTTTGATGCATCGTTTAGAAACTTTTGCATTTTTATACTGATCCAAAGGGAAAGAAAATAAGAACAAAAGAATTCTTACACCTATAGGTAGCAAAGCGTTTCCTAACCATTAATGCTTCCATTTCCATGTTCGAGTGTACGCAAAAGAGAATTCAGCTTCAATTGTTCCTTAGACTCCTCGCTGCACAGCAATTCTTTTATAGTATCCAAATATGTTAAATTTTGATTGTTTGTAAATATTACTTTATACAAATATGCTAAATCCTTTCTTAACATGAGATTTGCAAACACTAAATGTAACTTCTGTTTTTTTTTTTTTTTTTTTTTTTTTTTTTTTTTTTTTTTTTTCTAATTCAGGAAGACTTTCCATTTTCACATATGGCTAATAGTTTCAGGATTTACATTCTTTGCAAACCGATCTTCTATACCAACTACAATTTAACAGCACTGCGATCTTATGTTTCGTTTGATTTTGCGCTGTATAAACAAATGATTCCTTTTTTACATTGAAATTCCTGATATTAAGGTCATTCCAACATTCCAACTGTTCCATGCAATACATTACATTACATTAAAAGTTTTACATTAAAACAATTAAAGTTTTACATTAAAACAATTACATTAAAAGTTTTACATTAAAAGTTTCTGCAATATTTCTAATTATTAGATAATCTTTAAAATGTTGTACAGTAAATTTCGTAATTAAATATAGTTTAAATTTCTAACCATAATGTCTTGCAATGTTAATTTCAACTTTAAATCACCAATGCATTCTGCTGAAAAGCTGATAATTTCAAACTGCAGAGAATAATTTTTGTGACGCATTTTTATTTGAAATCAGAAACTGAAAGAAAATAGTACAATCGATTGCAAAAACTTCCAACAAAATAACTTGAGTGTCAAGAATAGTATGTTAATTTTGAACAATTTTTCGAATAAATTCTTTTATTTTTAGAAATATTTCGGAGGTGTTTTTTTCAACAAATATTTTGCAAATAAATTTCAAAAACCCTAATGCCCGAAAACAAATAGGACCAACTGTTTAAACTTGATGGCTTTTGTTTTATATGGACATGTATTCGTGTGAGTATTACATAAATAAATATACTGCTGATAATTATTAATTCAGAAAAGTTTCAAACTTAAATACTAAAGAACATTTTAAATAAACTGTTATATTGATTCTTATTTGTTTAAATGCTAATTTCACCTAATAATTCGTAATATTAATCGCTGTTGTCACGCTGTTATCAGACATTATTAAATTCAAATTCGTCATCTTTGATATGGTAAACAATGCTAAATAGAAAGTTTTGTTTCAAAATAAATAAATTTTAAAGGATTTTGCATTTAAACATATCCTAGGAAATATTCCTCTGACATCACACGTATATTTTAGGAACGTGCAGGTTACAAACGAGTCATTTTGGGGAACTAAACGATACGATTGCTATTTAAAAAGGCAAATTAATAAGCTGAGTTTGAGAGTTCCAGTCAAGGAACCTCTGTCATTTCCTCTAGAATGATATATCGCTAACTAGAAAGATATATCGTCATTAGGAAAATATATGAATAAGTAATTTCAGGAAGAAAATATACTTTCGCTGTCTTTTCATTTGGGTTGTAGTAGAATGTTTCTAAAAATTGGAAAAATTTCTCTTATGTTAGTTGCTTTCACAAATAAAGGATGAAATAAAATGATATACTTTACAAACTTCTATTAATAATAGTTACTTCGGGAAAAACAACACTTTTGCAAATGATATGACCACCACGTGTAAACTAACGGTAGCAACTAGACAACATTGACGTATATATTTTTCTGTAGAAACCTATTTGAGACGAGTTGTCTTAAAACGAAAAATATCAATCAACTAAGTCTTCCTATCATCATTCACTGAAGATTTTTAAAATATTGTAGGGGTAACCGAAATTTAAATTTCACCAAAGGAAATTAGTATTTAAGATCGTCATATTGAAAACTAACTCGGAAACTCTATTTCAAATAAATACAAAATTAATCACATGAAGTTTACAAAATTGGGTATTCAAAAGAAATTTAATTTATAAGATTAAAACATGAAAAAGTCGACACAATATAAAAAAGGAAAGAAAGAGAGAGGACCCGATTTTATGTAAGAAAACTTACCGCAGAGTTTATATATATCTTATACACGGTGTTCCCGAATTCGAGCGACAAATTCAGAGGGATAATAGTAGGCACCAAGAGAAAGAAAAACCATCGTAGAACATAGTGTCGAAAACCGCGTTTAGTAGGTGAAAATCGCGAAAATAGACGTCTAGAGTACATTGAGTCTGACGAAGAGAGTGGCCAAACAAATACGAGGATTAGGAGCACTACCGTTGAGAAGAAGAAAATTTCTCTTATGGCTTAAACTTCATTCGAAAACAAGATGTCAGTTTATACGAACGAGAAATATGCGGATATGCATCTTAATGAACTTCTTAAACAGGGCTTCTTTTAAAAGTACTTATTCATGCAGACAAAAGGTTGTAATAGTTCTTTTGAATTTTATTCAAAGATTTTAAAAAACAATTGTGTAAAATAAGTTTATATACAATTTATTCCCGATGCGATTTCCCAGAAATGAAAAGATTGTTACACTTCTCATTCAAATAGAAAAACTTTTGTTTGAATAAATATTGAAAATATAAAACAAATTACCTGATCTAAAATTTTTGGATCGGCGCCTGCTTGTTTCAGCATTTTGTAAAGAGAATGATTTCCTTTTTGGCTTACGATGTGCAGTGCCGTTCTGCCCATCTAAAGAGATTCAAAAAATATTACGTTAATAATTATTCTACATAAAATACAAATTTTTTTCATGTATAGTAACTTTTTCTTCAATTAGTTGCTCCGTAAAGAGATTACATGCATTTCAAAATAATTTTGTATGTTCAAATAATGTATCTACGTTTACATGAAAGTTGATAATATAAATTTTATTAACCAATCTTTCTTCCCTTAAAACTAAAAAAAGTGTTCTATTATCTTTTGACCCTCCTTCATAGCTAGGAATATCCTCCTTCCTAGCTATGCAGATTTAATTAGCATTTAAAAAGTAGTATTAACTGTTAAGATTCATCGTTGTTTAACAGTTAGTAGCCAGAATCTTTAACCTGTGCCTTTTCTTTCGAGTTCGGACTGCAAGTTACTCTCTGAGTGTCAGTATAATCAGCTAGCAACTAAATCGCAGTTGACGATAAGTTGTTCTAATTTCCTATCAGTTTAATTACTGATGAGGAACTTCAGTTAGTTATCTGTTTGAGATCTGAAAGCTCTAGAAGTGAGTACCCTGCATTTGTCAATAAAAATGTTAATTTGTGATCTAGTCACAAGATAGAATGGAAATTTAAGTTACAACATAGTTTTTCGTTCTCATCCCCAACCTATAAATTTTAATAAATATTTTAAGTGTCTCTACTCGCTATTGTTTTGCCTTTTGTAGCTTAAAACAGTTAATTTTTGTGTGGAAGATAAATCCTTAAAATAGCCAAGTCCAGCATCTTAGTTTAGTAAAGATTATGATCTTACGCATGTACAAATGCTAACTGGAAAAGGTTTTCCCTATTAAAAGTTTGTTGTAAAATACAAAACGAAACAAAACATAATTATCAAAGTAACATCTATGGTCTACAATACATCAGAGTTCCCCAGAGACTACTTGAACAGTATCAAATACATTACTTTAATAGTTTCATAAGTTCATTGCTTTCTGCAGCTAAATTTCACAGCTAACGAAATCACTAAAATTGAAAGGAGTATTTTTGCCACACTCATAAGAAAATGTCTGTAGTTTTCAAAATGTCCGAAGCTGTTTGGTAGAATGAGGCATAATAATACATTAATCACATTATTTAATTAATAATTAATTAATTCTGAAATTAGGTCTTTCTGGAAGTTTCAGTCAGCATAATTTACGAAGTAACTAAATATGCAAAAAAGATGGAAAAAAAGATATGTGCTCACGTTACTAAACAATTAACACTGTGAAATACAAAATATCGTAAATGTAATTCCACTTCATTGCGTGGTTCCGTTTCTTTAGGAACCTCTACAAAATTAAATCGAAAACTTGCTCGTAGAATATTGAAATTAACACCCAGTTAGCAGTTAAATTAACAGTAACAAGTAAATTGTACCTTAAGAAATATGGCTATGTTTCCCAGTTTACAATGAATAGCATCTTATTTATTTGCACTGAATCCTGACATAATGAATAAATTACAATTTTTGCCATTTTACCATTCGAAACTCATTTGGAATTAATCAATTTGGTTTGCACATTTACAATAATATTTTTTAACAAAATACAGTGAAACGCATTTTGTTAAGAAAATAGGACCAAATGCATTGTAGTTGAAAGCACTTTCCTTCTGATTGACTAAAGCTCAAGTTATAAATTTATTTCTTTGTTAAGACACTAAGACTGTGGGCTAAAAGCTTTTCTTTTCCCAGTGAAATGTGATGAGTTTTATATAAAGAAATGTTACTGCTCAAGAGAAAAACTTCCAAACGTTCAGAAAGAAACAAAGAAAGAAAGATTTTTAAGGAATGAGTTTGAAAAAGAGGAAAGAAGTCCAGTTTAGTTCAATTTCTTTATTAAATTACACAAAGAGAAATTCACAAACTCGCTGTTCTGTGGCAGATTGTTATCGGATAGTGCGATGTATTTAAAGGTACAATGCTTAGGAAGAAAAGATAATATAGTCATGAAAGGCAAAGAGCTTCATTTTAATACAGTTAGAGGTAGAAGCTAGGACAGCACCGCTGTAGTATCACAGAGGACTCAGGTACTGCTGAGCCTAGCTAGATGGGAATCTTTTGGAATCGCTTTGGAACCCCGAGGAAAGACACTCGCGGGCGACCCGAAGGTCCTTTCCCTACCTTCAATCTCTCGAGAGGATTTCGGCTCGCCATGTGTTTTGAGTGCCCCCTTGATGCGCAGACAGGAATCGTTTACAAGCATCCATGCTTTCTCAGGGACTCGAGAGCGTGTTCTTCGGTACGGTAAGTAAGTGTGACTAACCACTACTCCGTCCGGGCCGCTCTTGATTTCAGTAATGTGAAAGTTGTATACGACATAACAGAAACACTTTCATAAAGTCTGGGTTTACATTGAGTCTCGAGCCGTTTACTTCCTCAGACCCGGCGGGAGTGATTACTTAGAACTACTGAAGCCGATTAAGAGCATTTCCTTAACTTGCATGAATATTTATCGACAGGGTTAACCTTCTCGCTTTTTCTCGAAGTATTGATAAATATTCACATAAGTAATTGTTAATCATTGCTTATCTCATTATCCCTGCATATATTAATTACTTTAAATACATCTTATTTCTACAAAAGTTCTTACATTGGTTTTCAACTCATTTTACATTTTTCTCTTCGACTTAGATATTTTGATTAGCTTAGACATAGTAAAAGAAAAGTGGGTACTATCGTATCTGAGTATAGTATCGTACCTATCGAAGCTGAGTGGGTATTATCTACTCAGCTTCGAGACAAATCGGAAATAATGACGCCAAAGTAGGCAATCCAGAATTTTACGAAATTGTATTTTTCTGGCAGCCCACTAATGGTTGCACGCCCATTATGCCAGGTCGTAATGCCGCAGTTTTATCTCGGTAGCGGCAGTATAATTCGCGCCGTTTTGAAATTCGAGGGTCATGTTTGTGGTTTTTGTTTGTTGTGAAGAGTGTGCGGAGTGTTGTGAAGAGTGTTTTCTTTTTTCTAAAAAAATGGTAATGCCACTGTTCTGCCCAATAGAAAAGAAAGCGTTGCATTTTTCAGAAATGTGGTGTTTTGACTCTTCTACTAGATAATGTATAGAATACGCATTCCACGAAGTTAACCTGTGAAATTCTCTAATTTTTAAAGCTAAAACACGTGGATGTGTATATGAAGAGCAGTGCCAGTTTCCTTTGCACCAAGAATTCTGCAATTCTCTGATTTTTTTTAAAGTTCAATCAGATCGCTTTTCATACGGACAGGAAGCCGAGAAAATTTAAAGTTAAGTGTTTTATTATGGATGTGTTTGGCGTTTTTAATTTAGTTAATTTTTATAGTCTTATGAACTTTTCAGAGCGCACCATTTTTTTCTAAATGGCTTCTGTCTTTCACCTGTTAGTTTGGCGAAACATTCGTCGCCAACGATTGGCCACTGCGCGGAAGGGAATTTGCCCAAAATTGCAGCCCTGTATTTCCAAGACACGTTGACAGTGGCCATATATTAAAACCCTTATATTAGGACGGCAGTAATTGTAAAAATACAAGTTGATTCATCCAACTGCATTTATTATTATTTTGAAGCTTCCCGAATGAGTGCAAGAGACAGAATGTAAGAACATTAGAATCTTATTTCCTTAGGTGTGTCAAACAAAATACTTCAGATATGTAAGTATGAGTTTTATATTTGTTTCTATATTACTCATGGCAGTTTCTTATTATTCTGATGCAAAGGTTTCTATACATGTAATGCAGCATATATGTTTAGGTTACTGCATATTCAATAACTATAACAACACCTTAAGCATTAAATTCATTTTTAGTTGACTGTAGCCCCTTTTAACAGCGACATTGCATTGTTAAAACAAATATTGAAAGCAGATACTATCTATTCAATTTATTATCAGGGGTGAATGCGATGTACTTACCGCATCTTTTACGTTGAGGGTACTTGGGTAATGATCGGCAAAATACTGAAGTACATGATGAGACTCCGAGGCAGCAGCCAGATGCAGGGGTAAAGCTCCCGTTTCATCGCGAGCTCTCATGAATTTTTCATTGTTAGCCATCAATTCCTTTACTTTGTCAACATCTCCATTCCTTATAGCTTCGTGGAAAGTTTGGATGCTGTTCTGGAAAAACGCAAAAAATAAACTAAGCATTATGAAATCTTTATTTTACGCATCAAATAATGCGTAAATTGCATTATAGCACCTCAAAGAAGAAAGTAAAAATGCTTCTTGTCAAAATTTAAATTAAAAAAATCTGATGCGACCGGCACCTGACTTCCCGGCAAATCCTGTTTCAACGAAAGTAAATATCATCCAAGATTAAGTTAAGTCAAAAGTGCTTTTTGTCAAAAGAACGATTATTTCATTTAAAAGCACCATAGACACAGAATTTTTAAATTTGACACCACGCTTAAAACGAAAGTCACGTTTTCCGAATGTGATGGAATTCCTCCTGTCGAAGTCTGAATATAGCGAAACTAATCAGCGAGCGACACAGTTTGACAAACCTATCTGCAGTTTCTTATTATAGTGATTCTATGTTTTTACACGAAAATCTTTTAAGGGTTCTAAGTAAAGTAATGCTTCCGTTTTATCATATATAGTCAAAGGGTAATAAGTTGTTTATATGAGTTTCAAATGCCAAATTTGAGAAGTTTTGAGTTTGCTGCATTTGAGAATATATCATAATATATTTTTTTACGAAAATCTGTTCAGAGTTTTTAGTAAAGTATCACTTCCAGTTTTCCAGTTTCAGACAAAATCTAATATATTGTTGTTTCAAATGATATAAAAAATTAAATACTAAAATTGAAAAGTTTTTTTTTTTATATTTTAATGCAATTTTCCTTTAAAAACTGTTAAGGACTTCATATAGAGTACCACTTCCGCTTGTCCAATTTTACTCCAAATCTAATCAACTGTTAACATGAAAACAAAAATCTTAAATTACGGAAAATAGCAATTTTTGGAAGTTTTATATAATATTTATCGTTCTTGCAAAAATTGTCCCACACGCATACTCACAGAGAGTCATCATTCTAAAAGTAGTAAAACCGAGTTGTTAAGAGACCTTAATTTGTGTTTTTCAGTGAAGATTCACTATCAGATTTTTGAACCTAAAACATTATATAGTTTATATATATATTTATATAATTACAAAGCATTTTTTAAAATAGCATAGTATAACCATGCTAGTATTTTCGCGCATTAAGCTGCTGAAACATTATCAGTAACGACGTAAGGTAAAAAATTTGGAACCAATTTTACACAAAGACCTAAAATTGAAATTCCTAAGTAATTAATTTCAAAAAATCCTATAAATGTATAAAATAATTTAATAAATGTTAAAACTAAAATATTTCAAACAGGTAAACCCCCAATTCAAAAAATTAGTGAACTTTACAGAATATAAAAGAAGAGGAATTTAATCAACTTCAGTGCCACTTCGTCAGAAGGAGGAACATAGAAATCAGTTAAAATCTTTATTCCATAAAAAATCCTTGCTTTTATGTACCCAGAATTAGCTGATGAATCATTCCAATGCATTTTAATTATAATAGTTCACCCGAAAATTCTGGCCCCTCCCCAAAGCAAAGAAAAAAACAAAGTAAATTCATATCAAAATGTTACTTTGAAACAAAGAGTTCAAAGAATTGAAATACATATATGTAATAATAGAAATATATATATATATGTATATTATGTAACTACATATATTATATAGTTCACTTAAAAGTTTAAAACTAAAGTGTGATTTAAATCATCAGTATAGTTCACTGATATTGTTTGGGATGAGTCAAAAACGTCTAAAACGAATGTCGTAACCTTTTTTGATAACAAATCATGAAATTAAGATTTCCCTTGTCAATAAACATTTAAAGAACTGCAAAAATGTGTAACCTATGTATTAAATTACATATTTTAAATACCAAAATGTACATAAATGTATTCAATAGCGTTTTATTATTTCTCAACATAAAATGAAGCTAAACAAAATGTTTCATGTTATTCGGATTAAACGACTGAGCAAAACGTTTATCTGAAACTTGCTAAACGAGCCAAACGTTTATCTGAAAAGGAAGCAATTCAAGTTTGAATTGTTATTTCATAAGCTACGAAATTATCACAAACAAAGTGAAAGGACTATCTTTGATGCAAAATTATAAAATTTTGATTTAATTTTGCAAATTTAAGCAAGTGTAATATTCATAACAATTTTAACCCGTTCGTGACCAAGGTCGCGTGGACGCGACGCAGCGATTCCACTCTTATCAGCCCAGCGTCGCTTCCACGCGAAGAGCTCCGATTGATATGGAGAGACCAGCGTCGCGTATGCGTAATCGGAAATCGGAACGTTTATTGAATTTTTAAATGCTACTAGATGGCGTTAAACGGCAACGGTTTTCACAACGGTCGACTCATATGGTATTTGACCTTCATGAACGGGCATTGGTTTCTGTTCTATGCTTCTGTATTTGATATATTTATTGATGTAAACAAAGTGAGAATCACGGCTCTTTAAAGGGCTGGGATTTATTGCTCGCTGTGTTTATATTTTGACAGATTGTGGAAATTTATGGAACGTTTATTAGTTGAAATGTTGGAGTAGAATTGCGTTTGTCTTCTGAGGTTTGACAGAGCGAGATTTCGAAATAGATGAATTAATCAAATAGTGAAATGGAAGAAAGAATTTCTTCTAGTTAATAATCTAGTTAATAATTTATATTGATGGGAAAGGAAATAAAAGTAGAAGATGTGTCGTATGTGCTAAAAAAAATCGAAAACAAACATCATATTATGAGTGCAAAATATGCAATGTTGGACTCGTGTGGATCCTTGTTTGAACTATATCACACACAGCAGAATTTTTAAATTTCGATTTTATTCAGAATATATTATTATTCTTAATTTCCTCTTTTTTTATTTTTGTGTTGTAATATTTGCAGCTTTGTTTTATTGTGTATAGTTTTGTTTTCATGTGCATAGTAATAATTTTAGTTTTTTGCATATTTCATTCATTGTATTAACGTTAATTTTTTTTTTAATACATATTAAATAGAAGTATAGTATATATATAATTTATAAATTTGGAGTCTTTTTATTAAAATGCTGATTTTATACGAATTTTTTTGTAAACTTAGGCTTAACTGCTTAAAATGCGCGGGCCGGTAGTGACGCTCCGTTTCAGAGCGTTCGGTCCCGTGACTGAGTTTTATTTCCGGAGCTCTGGTCCTCAAGGGGTTAATCAAAATTAAAATCCTAGAGTTATATAACGATATTAAAAAGCATCAGTAAAATCATCAGTGAGTAGTTTCATTTATATAACTTACTAATAAGGTAGGAAGCTCTTTGAGGAAGGATTTAACGTCTTCATTCCACGAAGTTTTACCAATTAAATGTTTTCCATGCCCTTCTAGTACTAAGTCATGAAGAAGTTCCACATCACCCCTTTGCAATGCTGTAGTCATTCGTTCCAATACTACAAAATATTTAGAACAATTAGCCTACATTCTATACATAAGCAGACAAATTCTCATTTCTTGGAACATAAAGATGAAAACAATTTTCTTGAAAACTGAAGCTTTAAAAAAATTAATTTCTAATTAATTTTTCAATATTTTAATTCATTAAAATTAATCTTTTAACACAGAGAATTTAAAATTGAATAAACGCAAACTTTAAAATAAATATAAGGAAGACTGTATATCAGTTTCAATTTTAGCTTGTAGAATTGAAGTAAGAATGCAGTATTTGGAATATTTTAGATTGCTATGATATACATAAGATTTTTGAGTCGTACCGGATATTTCTGAGTCATGAGTATACACATAGATTCTAGCGTAAGATTTTAGATTAGCTTACAAGGTATAGTTGTCTACCGTTATAACTGGCGTAGGGAGAAAGTAAATCACGTTTTAAATAATATGACATCCCAATTTGTGTGAACGAAGATGGAATGAAATTACTTGTGAAAGAATAAGACCGAGTGAAATTTGCAGAAGGTTTCAAGCAGAGCACTGTGAGCAAATTGTTATCTGCAGCAAATCATCTGAATGTACCATTCACTGATAAACGGCAGTTTATCAGTGCAAGTCAATCCTGGGAGACGCTCAAAACTTATTCGGTTCTGATCTTTGAAAACCAATAGTAACATCTCGTCAAATTACAGAAACGATAAACCTTTCAGCATGAAACTTGAACATACTTATTCATAAACATCTGCTTTTTAGCTTTAGTTTTGGGGGGCACAAGTGTCATCATCTATATGGACTCTCTATCATGTGGTGTCAATACAAGTTTGCGTCTACGAGAGACTATATCGAGAAATGAAACACGTTACCACTTAGCTACTTATCTTTTGTTATTCTAAAAAATCCAAAGGTTCGAATTTGAGACAAATTACTTCATAATATTAACTTAATTAAAAAAAATTCCGTGCTTGTATAATTAAATAAAATGCGCAAGAACCCAAAAAAACGTTTTTTTTTTAAGTTAAAGAATTTATCTTTCAATCTCTTTCTTTCATCAATGCTGAAGTCAGCCGGAATGTTTCGCAGAAAATTACCATAATGCGATAGGCTTTATTGACTTTGCAATATTAAAACTGGAATTTTCCTTATATAATGACAAGTTTGTTTCACTACAGTCTTGTTGTGCACTACAATCTCCAGAAGAATGCGAAAGGTTTATAACGGATTAATTCTCCTTTTCGTAAAAATAATAATTTTTAAGGAAAATATTTTTTGAAAAGAACACACGAAGTACAAAATTAGGTTTTTCAAAATGATAAAGTTCAGTATCGAAGAAATAATTCATACATGCTTTCGCTTTTGTACTCAGAAACAGTGTTTTTTGTTATATAGCACGGCATGGGGATAGTTCTTTAGTCCTAGAAATTCACGAAATTGTAATGTATGTTACAATAAATATAAATAACTTTTGAAAGCTAAAGATTATATATTCTTTCCTCTTTAATATGCATACGGAATACATAGTCACTTACATAAAATGCATATGTAACAGATGAAATATTCCGTTTATTTTCTATCCATATCCATGTTCGTGATTTATTATATATTAAATGCTCATGCTTTACATAAAATGTCAAGTTTCATTACATGAAAAAATACTTTTTATTGCAGACATCGTAACGTTATGATGGCAGAAAAAAATACGTCGGAATAAATGTAAATAATACATGTGAGGATTGAATGAAATTTTACTGAACACTAAGTTATTTTATAACTGGGTTCATATAATAATTGAGCCTTCTTTATCACAAAAATCAGTACCATTGAAAATCTTCATAATTCTATCTGTGGTAATTTGTTAAGTATAAATTACGGGCACTACTCTTATATGAGCCCTCAGGCCGCCAAATTTCTCGCCAAACATTTTTGGCGATAAATTTTTTGTCTACATTTCGAACTTTAAGCCTAAAATGTCTCCATAAACGCGGTTTTCGCACATGCAAAAACCATGTTTTGAACACACAATTTAAGCTAAAAATCCGAAACAAAAAATTTAGATAGCAAAATCGTAAAGTTTCTAATAAAAAATATTTCACAAGAATACATGTACACAGCGATACGTTTTAATTAAAAAAAACATTTACGAATTGCACAATCTAGGCAACGAACGAATCTACGAACTACGCACATCTCGCTTTAATAAATTAACATAACAACAATAAATTTCAAAGAATACCATGTACACACCATCCTGTTTAAACTTAAGAAAACATCTATGAATTTCACAATCTAGGCATTGCGCACAAATCAACAAAATAAACTAAAATAACCAAAATTACAAACAAATCAAAAAACAAAAATAGCAACAGAAATTCATAGTAAAAAAACAATGAACATAACATTCTAGGGAAAAAAAAACAGTAAAATAAAATGCACTTACCATAATACATTCATTAATAAAATTTCGCCGGTCACACAACGTCTGTGAACTAAAATGCCACGATTTTGCTATATCACATGTCTTTCTGCGATTCAAAATTTCGAAAGTAACGCTAAAAATTCCTCCAAAGTATTTTTAGAGCTTACACGAAAACCAAGATCCAAATCTTAAACTCCGCTGACAGCCACATACTTTACCAGCAAGCATTTCACAGCAAATCCACACAAGAACTATCAGAAACGCCCTTCTTCCCCCGAGTTCTCATAGAAGCTCCTCATTTCGGACTCCGTTTTAAAAGTCCCACAGAAATTCCAAAAATACACTTCGATCCTCATAAATACACCCGTGAACAAAAAGACTCGTTAGCAACTCCAACATCGTACCTTTTAATACTAAATTTACTTTCCACACAATCTAAAATACGCGACTGAAATCTTGCCACCACGTCTATCATTGCAACATGGGCCATTTCAAAACACTCACAACAGGAACCAACGAGCAATTAAACCACTCCCGCAAAAGAGTTTTCAACGTCAAAAGGGTTGCCATACAACACGCATTCGCGCCAAACACCAGCGCAGAACACATATCGCCACATTTGGTGGTCTTAAAGAGCATATGAGAGTAGAGCCAAATTGCGAAAATCAAATTCACAATATCTAAATTCGAAGGAAAATAAATTATGTAGAAGATACACATATCCATCATAAATTTGTGAAATTTTAAAGCGGTTTTGCAAATATCTGTTGTACGCCTACGTCCTGTATAACATAAGGATTTAACATTCATAATAAAAATATGAACACTTTTACTCACCACCTTGTTTGCTGTACCGGTTCAATGTTTCTGGATGCCGTCCTCCTGCTTGCCTTGACCTCATCATTCCTGTTTTGGGCATTGTGATGAGATGAGTTTTGTAATAATCGGGTGTCCTTCCATGCTGCACATAAAGATTTTAATTTAGCACAAGCATTTACAGAAGGAAATAATTCAGTTTCATATCACATTTTCTAGTAGGGATTTAAAAAATTTGTGCATAAAAGTGAGCTACATTTTTTTTTCTTCTGCGAATTTTAAATTATATTTGCACTTTTAATTAATATCATTCGCCCCTAAACAAGAATATCCTTATTGAGATAAAACAAATATACCTATGTTTTCTTATTGAATTCTTTTAAAATTAAATTAGAGAAAAAAATGGTCTGCGTTAAAAATCTTTCCCATTGAAGAATTTTACAAAATACCTCAAACTTAAAAAATGTTACTTAATGACTAAACTGCAAAAGGGCTTTCAGAAATATCCTATCTTTGAAAGATTGAATGACTCGTATTACTTTCAATCCTAAATGAAAAGACATAAAAGTATTTAGCTTTGTGCAGTTTATTATAAGTTTATTCCTCAAGCAGAAATTAAATATTGTTAATTATAAGCATTTCTATAAAGGTTCGTCATGAATAGCTTTTAATATGTATTGACGGAAGAAAATTCGATTATTGCATGGATTTCACAATTTTTTTTTCTAAATTCTGTAATATAGTATGAGATATCTATAAAAACATACAAATACAACAAAATACCTAGAATATCTTTGACAGGAAAAAAGTGAAATATTATTAAGGTTGGGTAGAAACTCTATTCACATAATACATATGAAAAGTATTCGAATAGGCAATAATGTAACATTAGGTTATCTACTGAAAATCTAGATATTTTTCTTAAACTTAAAGTATTCTAAAAGCTTTAAATATCTCAAAATATGTGTAACCTCATATAAGTTGATATGCCTATAAAAAATCAACTACGGAATGGATTTGAAGCGTAAACACGTGAAGCTGCTTATATTTAATGAGTTAAGTTAAGGTACTGATATAGCTATCAAAGAAAAATTTCTTACGAGTGAGAAATCGATCATCTGTGATACTGCGAAGTAATATTTCTATCATTTCCCAGCAAAGGAAGTGCAGTCTTTCGAACAGATCGGGTTGAAGAGTGAATTATGAGAATAAAATCATGCTCTTGTCAGGGCAGTTGGCAAAAGTTAGTTATAGTATAGTTCCTCCCTCCTTACCACGTGCCTTCGGGGTGTAACTGGAAGCACGTCTGGCTAGAAATCGGGAGATCCGGAAGTCACGGAGGGCTCAAATCACGGAGAAGACATTGCACACTTTTTATATTTCTTGCTTCTACACATTCTAAATTATTCTACAGTAGCGCCCGAACAAAAGTATGGTGGATAACAATCCTTCACTATTAATATTCGGCTACTGGATTCTCACTTTCCCAGTCGTTCTTGTGGAGAGGGATGATAGGCATTTTCTCCCTCCTAGTTGCGTGCCTTTGCAATGCAACTGGAAGCCGGTCTGGCCCGTCTAGGATTCGGAAAATCCAGCGTTCGAATCTCGAAGAAGGCATTGCTCTCTTTTCCTGTGTCCTGCTTGGATAAAAATCTTAATGAAGCTACAACTTTATTTTGATAGTGCATCTTTATCTTCATGTCCTGTTAAAATGTTCTGTTTGGATAAAAATCTCAATGAATCTACAACTTTATTTTGATAGTACATACGAGTGTTGTCTCTGCAAAATTTTAAAGCATATTAAATAAAGAAAATGCGTTATATCTAGATTTTCACTAGGCAGCAAGATAGAAGTCTCCTTTCTTCCAAAACAGCATAATATTTTTGAACATTTATTACCATTTAAAAATATAGTAATAAATACCCAACACAATAAATAAAACCTTGAGTAGTTTTGTTACTATGCTCTCGACGTGAAACATATCGATGTCATTACATTACCGTCAACTGATTAACAGAGAATTGAGTTTCCGTGGATTATTTCTGTCTTTTTCTGGACGGTATGCATACTCTACCTCGTCTCATAAAAACAAATTAAATTTGCTTCCGTCTCTGAAGTAAATTCTCTTTGTGTTCACTTTATGTGCTTCTTAACAGATTCTAATGAAAACTTTGGATATTTTGCAGATGCAATAAACGCAAAATGATTTTACTGAACCGGTGTTCAAACAAAAAACATATGACAAGAGAAGCATTTAAACTTAATCCTTTTTTTCATTCAATTTAATACTTTACTGCTTGTCAAGTATTGATATAGATCAAATTTTAATTATTTTAGCTCTTCGAATTTTGCGATCGTCCTCACCTTGATTTACTACAGATTTATTTCCTTTGCATCATATTAGTGTTCCAAACGCTTACACTTTTTTATGGCGGTCAGAAATAACAAACAATTTAAAGTTATATATATCTGTTATTTAAAGCATTTGTAATACAATATCAAAATGCAATATATATGTCAACATAAGAGCATCTTCTCTTTTCTGATCTTCTTATTAACTCTTACTAATATTTCACCCTAATATAAGCAAAACAGTAAACTTAGGCTATGCTTCATGCACATTAAACTATACTTGTCAAAGATTGACCCATGAGCAGTTGTAAGTTGTTATTCACATAGAAGGCATATAAAAATTAAGCATGCTAGATTCTCTGATTTCAAGATTAATATGCACGTACAGTAAACGGAATTTGCATTTTAAACCCTCTGATCGAAAAGGCTGTATATATATATATATATATATATATATACGATTTAGAATATTTTTTGTGATGCCTGTAAGTACGTATGTATATATACCTGAAATGTAAAATATGTCCAAGAAATTAAGGTAATATGTTAACAGTACATAAATCCGGATATAAACACCAGGATCATTTTGACATTTAAATCAAGAAAGTATTTCTTTCCCATGATAGTTATGGGAAATTTGTGTTTCCTTAGCGAACCCCCGGCCGGTCAGAGGTTTAACAGACCTTGAAACGCAAGTCTAAGCATAACCTTTATAGAAATAACAGTTACATTAACACATAATTATGAAACAGAAAATTAGTATATACTTTGCTCAATATACTAATAATTTAATTTTAGAAGTACTGCAATTATGATAAAATTTACATGCTTCAAACATTTTACTTACGTTATCCCGAATTTTAGGATCAGCTCCTGCTTGTAAAAGCATTTTGTACAATTGTAAGCCATCTTTTCTAGACATAGCAGCTGCATAATGAAGCGCAGTAAGCCCATTCTGTAATCAAGAAATAAATAGTTAAAACATAAAGCATTTTTACTGCTGTTTATTGTATTTTCCTATTATTGCAATAACACTCTGCAAATTACCTTCCTTTCGGTAAGCATTTACTAAATGTTTCTTAAATTCATAGTAAATGTTACAATACCCTCAGTGTGCATAATAAGCTTACCTACCAAAAACTTCTGTAGCTCTATATTATAACTGCCAGAATTCTACCGCATACACCGTTTACTGATTAAGGTATGAGAAACGATTTACGAAGAAAAGAATTGCTTTCGAAGAATTGAATGCATTCTGCTGCACAAAAAAAAAGAAATAATCTTTTACGTTTAGACTTAAAAATGTAAAATAATATCATTTGAAGATAAAAGCAAGTTTTATGCTTTGCACAAGGATATCGATCAGGAAAACGTAATTTGTTACATTAAAAAAAAACATATTTTTAATCCTCGAAAAATTGTTTAACACTTTCAGCTGAAAAATGGAAAACCCTTGATTCAAATCATGATGAAGCCAAAAGTTAAGATTTTAACGTTTCCTATTCCAAAAACGCATAATAATATGTGTATCTTAATATATTTGCATTGCTTCAGTGCTACTTTGATTGTGGTTCGAAGAATTTTAAGCAAATGTCAGCAAGATGTGTCATAAGCACTCGTAACTCCAAAAATGTCGTTTCACAGTATATAAAAAACATTTTGGTTTTACTTTCAAATGGTTCGTAAAAAAGGATTAAATTCAAACGGATGCCATAAAAGCTTAGCATCGTGTTTGGTAGATGAAACTATTTCATTGCCACAGTATTTAGATAGTGAGTTTAGACCTGGGAAAAAAAACTCCTGAGACATTTCGTCAAGCGAATGCCATTGCTCTACCTCAGGCATAACAAAAAATGATAATGCAGATAGAGCGTTATCGATATGCATATAAGTGATAGGCCTAAGATCACTTATATGCATATCGATAACGCTCTGTGGGTCATATCGAAGAGCGTAAACTCCGGGATCGCCTTAACTTTAAAAAACATTTTCCCTGTCACTTCAATGCCTAAGAGAGAATGTAATGTCGTTTAGATCAGGGTTTCTAAAACTGGGGGTCGCCGGGCCTGCAGTCAAAACGTTTAGCAGTTTTGATATTTCCTTAAAACTTATTATAATAATTTTATAGTTACCAAATATTTTTACACAATGTATCTGATAATAGATAAAGACAAGACCATACAGACAAAGAAAAAAACGAAAACGTTTCGATAAATGTATTGACGGAAATACATTTTTTATAATAAAAAACGTTTCGATAAATGCATTTCTTTTTATAATAAAAAACCCTCATTTTCCATGCTTTGCGGGCCCACCAGCGGCCGAGCGGTAAAATCGCTGAACACTGGTAGTTCGGTCCCGCGTACGGACCGGTTCGAATCCCGCGTACGGGCTGGCTGCATGGACGTTTTCGTGGTTTTCCCCATGTGTAACGTGTATACGAGACAGTTCCCCTTAGAAAGTCTTCCACGAAGGTATCCCTCCCCTTAGGCAGATAGCCCTAGTGTGCTTTGCAGTATTTTCAATGCACCACCACCATCCTTGCTTTGCACATGACTCCTGTTACTTATTTAAAATTTTCACATTGTTCATGTCTTAAAATTAGAAATTAATGACCTAAAATTGCAATAGTATATTACAGTGCAAGTGAAAAAAATGACAGTTTCATTCACGCGTGTGTCGGATTTGCGCAATATTTATTGTGTCTCACAAATTTTTTGTAAATATTATGGTGTCCTGGGGGTTGCGAAATAATCTCAGTGATAAAAAGGAGTCGCGACTGAAAAAAGTTGAAGAAACCCTGGTCTAGCTAAATATGTACTACAATTATTTATTAACAAAGTCAAAGTATTTTAGATATGATTATAGATGATAAAATGCAAATACGATGCATGAACCATTGACGAATTAGAAATCGATAGTTGGGTGATTTAGTATTGACGAAACGTAGCTGATGAAAGGAAAAAAAGGGGGAGAATATCAACAATTCAATGGTTGCTTCTTTTGGTTGTAAAATTGAACAGATTTTAGGGGTGAAACTAAATCCACAAAGAACATGTGAATGTTTGCTTACTTGCAGTGCTTGACAAAGTGGTCAGAAGTTAGGCGTAGAATCTGTGACTCTGGCTTTTGAGAACTGCAACACTTCACCAGTGCAGAGAAATGCTAGTTCTAGGGAACCTCAGGTTTCTGTACTAAATAGCAGAGATTCTACTGTACCCGCTATAATTATTTGCTATATTTCTTTTGTGAACTGTTCTAAGAAGCAAATATTTATTAACTTAAAAATGGTTTTAGCGTAAGGCAAATATTCTAGCAAATTCCTGTTAAAATATTCCAGCAAATACTTCGAAAAACACAATTACCGTTTCCTGTTTACTTGTTTTTATTCGGGAGTGTCTCCAAACGTTTTGGGAGTTCCTCATACCGAATTGGATATTGCTTGGTGTATGTGTCCACTTAATCGTAAAAAAAGCTTTGTTTTGTTACAAAATTGTTGCTATTAGAGTAAGATATTAATAAGATTTAATAGGAAGTTTAGGAAAGAGGAGATACTGAATGGCTCTGAAAGTTTCATGCAAGACGAAGCACCTCTTTGTTTTGCTGTCTACATCATTACACAAACATGTCTTCACTGGGAAAAGATACATTAACCGTTGTTTACAGATTTTTCTTCACCTCATAGTAGTACGTTTGATCTTGGTATTCGGAAAATTTGAAATTCTTCGTTTATCGTAGCATTGTTTCTAATAAAGTAGCCTATGTAGGCGATGCAATTCAACACAGGAGGGAAATATTTTAATATGCTTAATACTTTGCAATCGAACATATCATGCTCGGAAGGGAATTCCTAATCCACAAAAATGGGCACCACATCCAGCATATCCACTTTATCAACAGATATCTAATTAATTTCTTGGGTTTTGAAAACATTGCTTTTACGTAATGCGTTTCTGCTTTAGGTGTTTGTGAAACAAATAAAGTTTACATTAAATTTTATAGCAGACTCATTTGCTCATTTTTATGCGAATTTTAAGAGCTCAGAGTCGTATGTTCTACTTTTCGCGAATTTTGGCACTAATCTTTTTCTTCGGCATAAGTCATTTCTCCATATCTTAATTAGAACACAGTCCTTTTAGATAAAGCTACAGAAAGCTCGGAATACGGAGCAACTTTATAGGAACTTTGTTTTTTATTATATGTAGCATTTCAGAATAAACACTTGTAGATAAACATCTTAAAAATCGAACAAACTTATAATAGCATCTCCATTCACTTTGTCACACTGAAAAAATTTTATTTTCTAATAAAACGCGGTTTACGCCATAGTACAGTATGAAGATTATTAAGATTTCAGGAGGTTATTTAAAGATTATCACTATAAAAATAATTGCTAATTGCAAATAGGGCTTCATCCACGAATCATCGAAATTTTATTTACCTTCAGTTTTAAGAATTCCTTATAAAATATTCTAAAGAAAATTATCAAATGTCGATTGATATTTCTTTCCTTCTATCCTGTGATGGAATAACAATAGCAAACATAATTACTAATACACCGTTTTATGTCAATAATAATAACATTCGTGATTTAAAAATTATATGGTAAAAATATACTAATAATTAAGTCATTTTGCAAGAAGATATTGCTGTTTTCTTTTGATTCTTTTTTTTTTTTTTGAACTTGTTAGACGAAACATTAATGTTTTCGATAAGAGCACTTGTTATAATATTTGTTAGCTTAACATAAACATGGTTAGTTACAGAGATTTGTGCTTACACACTCCTATAATAATCGCCTTGAAAAAGAACTAAATATTAATTCGATGCTGCCTGGATGAGATATTAAATGATATGCTGACTGATATTGCATTTGTGATATTTTTTCTAAACTGACATTAACTAAGACTATCTTAACAGAGACATTTTAATCGCCTTGAAAAAGAACTAAATATTAACTCGATGCTGCCTGGATGAGATATTAAATGATATGCTGACTGATATTGCATTTGTGATATTTTTTCTAAACTGACATTAACTAAGACTATCTTAATAGAGACATTTTAAAACGCAAGCAAAATTCATTGTAAGAGCTTATTGATTTTTCCTTTATTTACTGTTTAACTGAGTTAAGTAAAGAAACCAAGAGTAAACAAGTATTTCTTGCTACTGAGTTTGACTAAATCTCACTTGTCTTACTTCTCTACAATAAAAACACGATTTTTATATTATTTTGTATGTCAAAAACTATTATTTATTTGTTTAAACATTTCTTTTAATATTTGAAATTAATTTCTTTTGAAGAATGTGAGACAGATTGAAACCTTAGAAAAAGAAACTCCGTTAACTTTAATATTTTGGGAATCACTATTAAGATACTGTACAAAAGTTCTAGGTTGAACAATATGTTGGATAAAACTGCTAGATTTCAACCTAAGTTAAATATAACAAACCTACCAACAAATGATAAAAACAACTTACAAAATAATTTGTTCATCAAATTTCACTCATTTTACTTTTGAAGGCTTATTTCAGTCTCTTATTATTATTATTATTAATACTGCTACTACTACTACTACTATTATTATTATTATTATTACTATTCGACTTATTTAAAACAATGAACAAAATAAATCTATAATATCATTCTACTTAATATATTATACATATATAGCAAAATGATATTCCAACAAATCAATCTTTCAGTCTCAAAATCAGAAGCATCTCTTGCAAATTTTGTCAAATTTCCCATAATTTAGTGCTTATTGAGTAATCCTAAAGAATTACAAACTATGATCCAAGCTAATTTCAAGTTGCTAACAAAACAGGCTTTTATAATTCGACAATAAATTATGGATATTACTGTAAATGATTGCATAAAATTTTGTGTGTTTTCTAAGAATTTTAGCAATTTGTAAAGGAAAAAAATGTGTTACAAATAACGGACACCTTATTCTTGGCATTAATAGTTTCTGGAAACCTTTCAATAAGAAATGCAACAATCTTCGTCTTCTTTAAAAGTACTGCTTTATGTAGAGGGGTCATGCCCATATGATCTTTCGCTAATGCATAGTCCTTTTCTTCCAGATGAGTTTGAAGCTCTGATAAATCGTCACTGGATACAGCAGTGTGAATGGCATTAATTCTTTCAACTATCTCTGTAATTTTTCCGGATATTTGATCCTTTTCTTCGGAATCGTCAGTAGTATTTACTCGAACAACCTTATCGCCATAGCCTTCCATCACCGCTTTTGTTAATTTGTCCATATCTTTAGCATTCACCCATCTCCTAATGTTTGCGCTACTCATATCCAACCCTGTAAACAGAAAATTTATCAGTATTGTGCAGTCATATAAAGTAAATTTATCTATATCATCAAGGTCCAGTAAAGAGAATTATAAGAGAATTTATCAATGCTTCTGAATTGCTGAATCTTCGTTTAAACATTTTGGAAATATTAAATATTTGTCACTTTGTATAAATATATTTTCAAGTGTATAAATATATATTCACTTTGTATAAATATATTATCTTTAGCATTCACCCATCTCCTAATGTTTGCGCTACTCATATCCAACCCTGTAAACAGAAAATTTATCAATATTGTGCAGTCATATAAAGTAAATTTATCTATATCATCAAGGTCCAGTAAAGAGAATTTATCAATGCTTCTGAATTGCTGAATCTTCATTTAAACATTTTGGAAATATTAAATATTTGTCACTTTGTATAAATATATTTTCAACCAGATACGTTTACGAAACTACGTTAATTTAGTTTGGTAAAAATGTTAATTTGAATGCATTCTCAAGCGTATCATTAGATAATTATTTGTCTTTAAGAAAATGAATCTTTTCTTTGCTCTAATTAGTTTATTTTCCACATCAAAGATCAGGAAGGTTGAAAATAAAAGATGATTATCGCATTATAGCACGCATATTTATTTGCTTTCAGTTAATAAAAATCTACGCGAATGTTTCACCTGCATATCTAAATAATATGAAAAATTTCTTTCGTCAGAATTTCGAATAAATTGATTGTAATTTCCTAAACGTTCATTCAGTGCCTACCAATACTTTTACTGATAACTATGACAATATGTTAACTTTTTGTCTGTAACGGTTTATATGTTTGTGCAAATTACCATACCGTTATAAGATCTTGTATTAAAATTTACTTAAACTGCTTTTGAAAGAGAAAGAAAAATGTACTCCGTCTCAAGTGCTCTCAAGAATTTTGTCGTATTGTTAAGTATGAATCAAATTCAATCATATATTTCAAGAATATTTAATTAAAATTTATTACAGAGAGATTTCACTACTTGATAAAAACTTTGATCTCTGGGCCTCGTTTGGTCTTGGTTTAATGTGTAAATACCGCATATTTATTAAAAACAATTTACGTTAGCAATGCTTCATATTTTTGCGTAAACCAAAGATATATTCGTACAGCTCAATGTAAGCAATTTTACTTAATAATTAAAAACTGTTCGTCTATGTGCAATTTAAAAATATACCTTCTAAATATAATATAAATGATATACTCTTTTTCAGCGTTCTGTTAATCGCAGTATGAATTTTTAATCACAGCATTTACTTAGGCACCCAAAACGCATTACTCAGTTCATTCAAAACAGAGTTGTAAAGAGATAAAGCTTATTTTAGGTTAAAGGTCCATCTTTTTAAACACGAGACCCTAGATTGTAACTTGTAGGCTTAACCAGTAATGAGTCCTGCTTCATTAAATATCATGATTAGCCAATGAGACAGTTTAATTTGATGAAGAATTTTCTAATTTATACTGCAGTTGTTAAGTTGCAATAAATCACTGAAAAATAAAAAGTAAAACAATAAGAAATGAGTATAAGTTAAACTAACTCTTTGAAGAAAATATAGGTCTCGTTTTTGGACAATTACAGTGGCAAAAGTAAAGATAATCTTTTTTGAGGTGAGATTTAACGTAATTTTCCCCAATTGTTTTCTTTTGGAATAAAAATGTCTGTTTATATTTCCAGTCATATATAGTTTTAATGATACAGGTAATGATATCCAGTACATAAAGAAGTTTCAGTGCAATAAAAGTATTATTATTAACTACACTACTTACACTTTGCATACTCATATATTCATATGGATTTGGTTTGTTTACAATCCATGCTGTTATGTAACTTTTTGGCTTTCAGATCAAAAAATGATTTGTAGGAAATTTCCTATCATACGTTTGTTCTCCAGCACTTCGATTTCGCATTCACAAATGTTACCCTAAAATTCACCCCAGAATCGTTGATAGCTTTTCTAGAATTATTTTAACCTCTGTGGATATATTCTTTCTGTATATCCATAGACGTTAAAATAATTGTACCCAAGCTACTGTGAAAATTTTAGATGTGGAAGTAGAAAAGATGATTTTGATCATCAAATTAACATTCTTATCCTGATCATCTAACGCATATACGAAATGCTTTACCTGAGTGTTTTTAGAACCTTTTGCATTTGTACGTTACTGTGACTTAGGTATGGAAAAGTTTTGCATACAGTAAAATGCAGAACGCGTATATATCGCTTGTTCGTATATAAGTAACTAAAAAGAGGTTTAGCATCTAATTAGGCATTACAATTGTTTATATGGCATCAATAAAATAGCTATATAGCATCATTAAATAGCAGCAATATGGCATCATTAAAATGGTTTATATCGCATAAAATGATTTATATGGCATAAAATGGTTTATATGGCATATTTTCAATATCTCCTTGTGAATAAAATGTAAATTATATCTGTATTTTACGCGACCCAAACATAAATTTAAAAATTCAGTAACGAAAATGAAGTTATAAAAATTAATAATACGATAAAAAATAAGAAGAGGGGAAGAGAAATCAAATTTTTCAAATAATGAATATTTTTTAGCTATAATTGTACATAAAAATAGACAAGTTTGAAAACAAATATCGGTAGGAAATAATTTGCACTTAAAAAAAACAGTGTACTATAAAAAAAGGTGTAAAAATATCATGAGTAGCTACATATAAAAATGAGATCCATCTAAAAATGTGACGTATCAGAGAAAAAATAATTCATGTTTGAAATCAAATGAAATTCATATTTGAATATCAAATATCAAATAGTCACAACAATTTATATTTGAAACCAAATCTACAATGTTTATAAACTGTTTTATGATAACTTTTATTTTTTGTTCAAAGTGCAGATTGCAGCTGTGTGTGAGTACTTATGTATTTATATAAAGATTGATTAATTTTTTTTTACGTTTAAATTCAGAGACGTTCTGAGTAAATACAAGTTGCTCAGGAACTCATTTATGAAATTACTAGGACGTTCCAAAGGGTAATCAATACATAATTCTGCTTTTATATAATTTTAAGCATCAAATATTCTTCAAATTATATATATATATATATAGCATGAATAAGTATTAAATGAAGTTATAAATGAAAACCTTTACAGTTAGAATAAGCATTTTAAATTCAACGGGAGTATATTTATGGTAAGATAAGAATGTTAAATTTATCATATTATATAAACATATCATATCATAACATATATCATATAAATATATCAAATTATATAAACATATCATATATTATCATATAAATATATCTTAGCGTATAAACATATCATATCATATCATATAAACATGCATGTAAAAACAATAAAATTACTCTAAAAATATTAAACTTTCAAACAAGTTTATTAAGTGTCTATCTAGAATTCATCGCATTATCCAGATAATGAAAGCAGAATCTAACTACGGATCATGAGACATTACAAAATATCCACCAAAACATTTAGACCTATCTAGCAAGAATATCAGTTAGAAAACTAGATGTATCATGCTTAATCGACGAACAAACAGTATGTTAAATTAATTCTGTCCTTCATGATACATATCTGTTGGCTCTCTGATGTCCAATTTCTTGAATGAATTCTATATTTTACGTCCCTCTCATTTTTATGTTATAAGGTTTATTTTAAGCAACAATCCGTTTTTTATGTTAATTTATTCATGAAACTTCTTCCTTTCATCCGCCTTCACCAGAATACAAATTAGGTGGATTTTAAATAGCAAGCGAATGCGTAATTTAAATAGACACAATTTTGCAATGCATCAGAAAGCGTTTTCGTGAACCATTCATTTGTTTGCCAATCTGGGTTTGATGGGTGATTTATTTCATTTGATGTCTCTAAGTCCCAGAACTTGCTAGTAAATGTAGCCAGGCTGTTTAGATATGGCAACTATTTGTTGCTTTATACATACAGGTATACAGGAAATATTTTGTATTTCTAAGACCCCGCAATAGCAGTGGATTATTGTTATTAGATTTTAATTGTATCTACAAATCGTAGTGTTAATAAAATTGTAAAGTATTTACTCTCTCCATACAGATATCCTTCGGGGCGTAACTCAATAATACATCTCGCTGGCAGTTGGGAGGTCCGGTGTTCAAATTCTAGCGAGGGCGCACTGCGCGTTTTCCATATATCCTACTTCAAAAACACTTAATGACTCTACAGACTTGTTAATTAAGCTAGCTTTACTTGCTATCGTTTCTCTGAGAGTTTTAGACCTCTACTTAAGTGGGAAGACGACACTAATGACTCTACAGATTTGTTAATTAAGCTAGCTTTACATGCTATCGTTTCTCTGAGAATTTTAAACCGCTACTTAAGTGGGAAGACAACGTCGTCAAAAGTGTAGGAATGAAACAAGATTTAGTTTTAATTAGTGTTTAATTCACAGTGTGTTACTTATTTAGACGTAAAATATAGAAAATATATAAAGCATGAAATTTTTCTCATTTTGTAAAATTGTTTAAAACCTTTCAACTCAGCATATATTATTATGTTGATGCATCATATGGAAAACTAGTGCAAAGTAATCAAATCTCACAACTATAGACAGAAATTGAATATGAAATTTTAATTACTCTAGAAAACTCTAATTAATTTTATGACTAACATTTCAACAACTGTTTCGTTAACGTGTTTTGGTGCTAATTATTATTTAAAAAAACAAAATAATAATTAAAATATATATCTCATCTATTCGGTTTCTAAAATTTTCAACCTATTTTTGATTCCTTTGTATTACATCTGGAAGATGTAGCCAAGTAATGATTATTCATAAATATATTTTGGGGCATTCAAGTGTTATCATTGGGACAGACGAAACTTAAACTACGTTATGTAGTAAAATATTCTATTCTAAATATTGATATGTGTAATGAGAATATCAATTTGAAGTATTAAAAAGTATTTTTTTTTTACTTTTTTAAAAATAATCAGTGAAAACTCAAAATCATAAAAACCTCTTATACATATGCATGAGAGGGGAATAAAACTCATACAATCTATTTCGTAACCAAATAAGTTCAAATCCTCTCTGCGTACTTGCGTACTTACGCTAATGGATGCGCGACCAATATTCAGACTATTACACACTATTTTTTCATATTCCTTCGCTTTATTTATTGTGTGTACTCTATTTTCACAAATTTTATCAGGAATAAACACATTAGCAATTAAATCAAGAAAAATGCAATAAAGAGATGCAGATTCAGATTTTAACTTGTTCAACAAAGCTATACATACAAACGGGTAAATGTTATGGTTTGCAATATTCAGCTTCATAAATATGTATACACGAAGTTATTACACAGCAAAGCAGTGTTATATCTGCTAAAAGAACAATATTTAACTAGACTCAAACAATAACGTATCTAAAATGTTATATTACCGTGACTTTACTTACATGTTTGTGTTACACGTAAAATGACTTAAGTATTCCTACAAGTGTCCCTATTCCATAAAGGAACTTCATTGCATTTAGGTAAGATCAAATCCTATATTTATAATTATGGAATAGAAAAATTCGCAAAAATCAGTACACCTTTCATAAAATATTTCGTGCGAAGATAAAAGCATAATTTCTAAAGGTCCACAACATACATACTTTTGGCAAGTTTTTCTTTTTGAAGAATGGAAACCATTTCATTTTCATTACCACTATCGTTGCTTTGACTTGTTTCCTAAAAATATTAAAATATATTAATATAATAATGGTTAAATAATTTAATACGTATTGCCATCCGTGCCAAAAGTTCTGAAGTAAAGCAAAAGTTACAACAGTAGCATTTGGAGTATTTTTCATCACCTTTGTAGCAAATGACTCAGTGAAAGTTATAATAAATGATTTAATCAAGTTACTAGCTTACAACAAGGATATGGATTAACCTGTGTGATGCATAGTTTCGAGGATATCACTAATCTAAAAATGTAGTATTCATTTCGACTTGCTTCTAAAACGCGATATCATTACGGTTCACAGCCAAGCTAAACCAGTACCCCGCTACCTGGGATACTTTTGTGAGTATTTAGATAAACAAAGGTAGCTTAAAACTTCAATGAAGTATAGAGGAATAGTAATTTTATACAAATATACAGCAATGCGAGACAGTTATGTTGGTACTTTTTTTAAATGGATATCTAGAGCAGTTCTTTATAATGACTTTTATTCATTAGAAAATCTCAGTAATTTCTCAATAGACGGAGAAAGGCATTAGTTTTAAAGTAAAGTGAGAGTTTTGAATCTGTATTAGTACTATGAAAAATCCTTATAGGCAATTTAAAGAAAACGGTTTTCCTAATTTAAAGTAAAAAAGAAAAAAGATAAAGTTAAAACAAAGAGCTTAAAATTAGCTCTTCTAGGAAAAAATGAATAAAATACTTTTGAATCTTTTTGCTTTAGGCAAATTAGATAATAAAAACTAATAACCGAATTGTTTTTATCGTGTTAATTTTGGTTTTAATCATCCTTTTTTACTCCCTTTAGCGATTAATATATTTTCAAGGTGCTCTGAACATTTACCGTTACATTTCTAAGGGACTGCTGCTAAGGAATCTGCTGCTGTCCTAGTTTTCAGGACCTGCCGGGGCTAGTAAGCAGTAAGAATATAAGAAACCTCCTGAAACAGCATTTCTGGATGACATCACGTTTCACCTCTTTCTTGGTCCATTCGTTTATTGGATGGCTTCCCTATTCAGAGAGTCCAGTTCTTAAATGACCATTTGAATGACTTGCATGCCACAGATCAACCGCGCCAGCCACGAAGCATATGCACTTTGACTACATATCAAAACCTCAAACCTCATGTATCGGCATATTACAAGTATATATCCAATATCATATCCATTACAAATATATATCATATCCAAATATATATCCAAGTTATGCAATCAATATGATTTGGGGAACAAGAAATCCCCAACTGTAGCTTCCACTGATATTGAACACGAATCTTCTAATTACTAGCTGGATCGGCTAGTCACATATACCACACAGAAATATAGAAGGAATATATTTAATTCCTTATGATATCCCTTTCACTATATGCCATAATGTGCAGCAATATTTATAACCGCCATTGGTAGCTATGCAATTTGGTAACTTTTTACTTTCTGCAAATCAAACTGAGTTATAATTGTAATCATTTAACTCTTGCACCCTAACTTATCTAAGAAATGTGATTTTACTAGTTCTCGTTTTCGCAGCTCTGAGCATGCAGCAGCCGACAGTACATCATGCCTAACAACTCAACCCGAAATAATGAGATTTGGAATTAGAAGCATTAGTAAAAATTTTTAAACTTTGACAAATAAGCTAAATTCCAAGAATATATAACTTTTATAATGATTATACTTTTCTCATAACTTTTTCGACAATTTAAATGTTAAAACCTGTCTGGAGAGTTGAAATAACAGGCTATGGAAAATCTTCCATTTCACCAAAGTTCTATTTATTATACCAAAGTTCAATATACAACGCTAACAATGGATGCTATAGCATAAACATCCCGGTGTATCGATTTGGCATTAGCCGTGTGAATATTTAATCTGCAGAGAACGTGCAATACTGTAACTAATAGAAGGGAAGAATAAAATGAGAACTATGTTCATGTTATTCCTTTTGTTAATACGTGTATGCCATTTATTATGACAAAAGGAAAGGTTTATGACTCAGATCAATAGAATGATTAGAGCAATTTCTGCGATAGCAAAAAGCTTTTAAATAGTTGAATTTAGGAGTAATAACAACTTGTTCAGAACAAATACGAAGGGTAAAATAAATAGAGAAATACACAATAGTAAAAATTAATGCTGAAAAAGGGCTTAATTTTACTGTTGATTAATGTTTGATTAGCTTAATATTTTTTTCAATCATGGTTTCAAAAATGAAAACGGTATGCTTTACAAATTCTTTTATCAATACTTATCCAAGTGTTCCTAACTAAATAAGTGATTTAGAATAAGTATTTCAGCAGTCTCTTGATTTTGAAAACATTTATCTAGGTCAAATACAAAATTTTTATAAATTTTATATAGTTTTTGTATCTCAAATAGTTTTATGATATGCTGTACACAATGCTCTGATTTTATAATACCGAAATTCTTACTTTACTGGATGGATTGTCGTCGGAACGAGGACTGCTTGAATTTCCGTTGCTTGGAGGAGGGGATTCTAGAAGAAAAACACATAAAAATATGAAGATAAAAATCCTTAACAAGCTAAGCTATTAAGATATGATTTTTTAAGTATAAATGACATTAAACTGAAGTTATATATGTTCATTTCTCCTGTAAATTAATAGAATAAAAGAAGCAATATTTTAGATTAAGTCCTGATGGTACAAGTGGTTATAAATATATAAATCCTATTTTAAAACATAAAAAAAACTAAAATTTCTTTTCAAATTTTAGTTTTTTTTATGTTTTAAAATAGGATTTATATATGTTTATATAAATTAATATAATCCTATATTATATAAATATTATATAAATAATCCTATATTATATAAATATAGGATTTATATATTTTCGTTGCACTATAAGCATATATTTTTTTTAAGTTTTCAACAAAATTATTCTTAAGCATTAAAATATTTTCCGTATAAATATACTTTGAATGATACTTTATTGCCTTTATAAAGATGTACATTGAAAGCATATATAATTTTCAATTAACTTACTAAATTCCTGACTACATGTGCTATAAACCTTTGACTTTAGTTTGTTATGAGAGAACTGAGACTCGCACTTCTCACATAAAAGAACATTTCCAATGCAATTAGAGTATTTTATTTCCGCCTTTATATTTTTGTTTAATAATTTTACGTAACACATACATGAATATAACATGGTATCATTACATTCAAATAGCATTATGCAATAAATAGTAAGGCATAGTTAATCCAGAATTCATGCATACAGTAATATATAGGCAAATATTTGTGTGCTACCCTTGATTAATATCTTAATACGCGTTTATTGAGTTTAATATAAGAATAAGTTAAACTATGGGTTATAGGATTTTAATGATCAAATTGAGCTATGGAACTCTGTATGTCATTATGGAACTCTGCATGTAGTTTTAAAATTAAGAAATGTATTGCACATTCCGTTTTATTTCATAAGGTTATGAAGCGACGAAAAAGCCAATAATACTATATGTACTTTTAAATTAAGTCTTAAGTGCTGAAACACGTACGATACTTTCAGCTACATATTTGAAATTATGTTTCCAGCTGTTTGTTAGGTTAAATGTGGGAATGGCTTGAAGTCTTTACTTAGAAATCCAGTTTGTAAATTGTTCTATTATGTTCTTTTAATACTGTAAATAATGAAGTCAAGCTTTAATGCAAATACCAGTCTATTTAGTTAAGCATTTCTAATTAAATTGTTTCAGTATAGTATTAAATATGTAACTAAACATGTTGTTAATTTTAAAATATATTTAAAAGAAGATGTTTACATGTGACAAAAGATATCCTACTTATTCAAATGCATTAAAATAGTTACTTTTGTAGAATAATATACTTTTGTAAAATATATTTAAAAGAAAGATGTTTACATGTGACAAAAGATATCCTACTTATTCAAATGCATTAAAATAGTTACTTTTGTAGAATAATATACTTTTGTAAAATATATTTAAAAGAAAGATGTTTACATGTGACAAAAGATATCCTACTTATTCAAATGCATTAAAATAGTTACTTTTGTAGATAATAATACTTTTGTAAAAATATATTTAAAAGAAAGATGTTTACATGTGACAAAAGATATCCTACTTATTCAAATGCATTAAAATAGTTACTTTTGTAGAATAATATACTTTTGTAAAATATATTTAAAAGAAAGATGTTTACATGTGACAAAAGATATCCTACTTATTCAAATGCATTAAAATAGTTACTTTTGTAGAATTTTGTATTGTTTCCTTTTAAATTGTGAAAGATACCCTACGACATGTCTGGCAATGCGATTAAACAATGATTTGAAAATTTTCAGTAAAGAAGACAAAAGTAAATCATCAGCAAAATATAGCTCCTTTATGATAAAATTTTCTAAGGAAATTAAGCATTAAGCAATTAAGTATAATTTGACACAATTTCTGTGTAAAAGGAAGACATGGCGAAATAAATGTTCGCAAGCAAGCAAAATATTACAAAAAGAAACTTGAGAAATTATTCCTTTCTTTTCTGCTGTTTTATTCTGATTTTCCAGCCTTTAATTTTAGCTGGTATTTTATAGTGCTATTTTCTATCTGCGGTGATAATTTTAATAACTAATGTTAACATTAGTAACTTACTAGTAACTAATGTTCTGTATTACCAACATAGACAGTCATAAGTGCAAAGAAATTTACAAAGTGATACTGACTGTTGTTAGGTGATTACATTTTGATGAAATTAAGAATTACTTTCGCATTTTTTTTTTTTTTTTTTTTTTTTTTTTTTTTTTTTGTAGATACTATATTTCTAAATAATGCTCTACTTTTATTTAAATTTTAATTAATGTGCAATAAAAGAGAAATTCGGAATGACTAAAGATAAATTTTGTTTAAACAAAAAGAACTTTATTGCATGAATTAACCACAATAAAGTACGAATGACTTAAAGATTAAAATACAAAACCAGTCGTATTTGAAACTTTTGTTGTTTTACATTAGTTCTTACTTTTGTTGCATTGAATAATTAATTAATAGTAAGAGAAAAGAAACTATATCAAATTTATATTTCATCCTCCGCTAAGTAACGAAATATTTAATATATCTTATAATGCAAAGAATAGTTTTGCACCCAAAATCAAACAATTATTTCTTGTTAAATAATTCTAAATGTCAAATACATTAAATTTCTCAAAAATGTAATTAATGTACTTTTGCATTGGACCTAGTCATCTGCAAGAGAAATCGATGGAGAACTAATAAGGTACGAGCAGTGCAGTTGTAGAATTCAGTTTTATTTTTTATTTTAACTGTATATCTCTAATTGTTTAGAGAATAAGTGAAAAATGCAGTAAAATTATATGTTATTAAAAGTAAAAAAATATTTTTAATTTCTTTATTTAATTATGGCGATTTATTTATCATTTAAGCTAGCTAAGGAATACTAAAAGTGTTCAAATTAAAATAATTTTTTAAATGTTTTCTTTCGTAAAAAGCGTGATTATTATAAGCATAAAAAGGCATAAATTAAAACAAAATATGAAAATGTCGCTTTCGTATATTTTTCGGAACTTAGATTTCAGTTAGCGATATGTCAGAAGAGAATATGTTCTACAGAGAAAATTGTTTATGATAGAAACTTTAAATTTCTTATAAAATCTACTCAAAATCAAATTCGTATATTCCCCAATGCTGTAAAAAATTACTGTAAAATTTTGATTCATACGCAACTAATGAAAATATTCAGATGTAGAACACAGAAAGGTACAAATTAATAAAAAAGAAACAACTTAAATTCTTTAAAATAAGTAATATTTTATTATAGTATAAAAAATATTTCTTATCTATTTCTTTACATAATGTGAATAACAGAAATTAACCCTTTGTTGCATCATGTCCACTCTAGTAGACAAAAGTTTAAATTTGTTTATTCTTCTTTAAATGTCTTAACAGATTCCATTCCTGTGTTTATTCATTTTATATTATTAGAACTTTCAACTGTCGATCATAGATGGCTGTATAGCATCACTAAGTAAGGCATTGCTATTTGGAAAATGGCTGCTACTTCTGTTTCCAAGTTAGCGCAATTTCTCATAGTAAACATTATATAATATTGCTTACATTTCCTTATACTGCCATTTTTATTCATAATTAGTAATTTTAGACATTTATTTTAAATGTCAGTTTGAGAAAATTGTGGAGTGGGTAGGTAAAGATCTACCGTAAAGAGTGAATTGAAACCCAAATTAACTGCTTATTAAGCCAAAACACCACTGGAAATGTTTATGTTTGGCAAGGAATTTCTAGAGCATTTGACATTTGAATCCAAGAGGTACAGGTTACAAAATCGTAGCAAAATGAATTCAATCACAATCGACAAAATGAAGGTATTTTGGGGGATCTATATGTGCATGTCAGTTGTAGATTTACCATTTAGAACATGGTAATGATCCCTGCAAACAAGGCAGGAAATGATTTCAAATGCAATGACCGTAAATTGTTGGGGACAGATTTGTATGCATGTACGTATATGCATGCTGTCCCCTGTAGTGAGCAAACTGTAGCAATTATTTAAAACGAAATTTAAATAAAATTATTTTTTTTATTATTACTAAGGTTACTTTAAGTAGAAAAAATACAAACAATGTAGAAAAAATACATTTCGTTTAACTTTTCTAGATTATTTGTATGTAACAAAGGGTTAATATTAACACTGGAAAGAAATTGGGAATAAATTGTTGTTATTTACATCATTTGAGTGAAATATTTAATAAAATCTTCGTACGATATTTTATAACTTTTATAAACTCTTAATAAGAGCATTCATACGTAAGTTTTCCTAAGAAGATTTATAAGATTTCTAAAAATATTTGTCTCCTCTCATGCTCAGATGCCATTCCGTAAGAAGTGAATGCTATTTTAAAGTCAAGTTGCGAACATTCTTACACTGTATCATTTTTTTTTTTTTTTTTTTTTTGTTGCTGCATATGTCAAACTGTTTTAGTAAATCTTCTTTAACCTTACTAAAAATTTTCTTTAGCATATTTAAATGACCAAACTATACCAAATTATTTGCTTTACTAACATATTTTAAGTCTAAGTTTTATTAAAACTTGTTTTGTAAAAATTAAATATAAAAAAAAAAATTTGAGTACTATAGTTTTCTCATTTTTTATTTTCTGATGGTAGCAATATTTCACTTGAGAGTATACATTAACGTAATAACTTCTGTTCTATGTAAAATTTACGGTGAGAGCTAATAAAAATAAGTAACTACTGTTCTTCTTTTAATGTGAAAATTTACAAATTTATTTAGACTAATTAGAAAAAATTACAAAGTTTACTTACGCCTAACTGGTGATTTTCCTTTTATTCTGCTAGCTGTGTTGGCAAGGTAGTTAGCGTTTACTTTGTGACATCTCTTGATTACTTCTTCTAAATTTAAGTGTTCCGGATATTGAGAGTAATAATCAGCAGTTTTCCCTTTCTGAAATAAAATATTATATAAAACATATTATATTTCATAAATCACAATGTAAACAGGCTGCTATTCATAAGAATTTTAGGCACAACTCTTTAGAATGTCATTGGAAATTTAAGTGACATTCGCTGTGCTGAAATCTGATTGCTCCCTTTCCAAAACAGATGCTGAAACAGAGTTCAATCAGGACATACTACAACTTCTATGCAATCCAGAGACTAATTTTATATAATTTCAATGGTTTCTGCAATTTCATTTATTTATTTAGGCATTTAAATTAAGTGAATGGAACTTTATTGTAAGAATTTGCTGTTATTTTTAACATTTTAAGTTCACAAAGAAATTTGCAAAATCCGCATAAAAACTCCGTATTTCTGTTGAAATAACATATAAGGTAGTTTCTCCTTCATGCTTTTGAGGTGTAACTTGAAGCACGCTCGAAGCGATGTTCGAATCTGGGCGAGAGCACTCAGGATTTCTTCAATTTCCTGGCATCTAAAAATTCTTAAGACTTTATAGTCTTTTGAGACAATGACTCTAATTCAGAATAAATTTGATATTTAATATTATTAATCGTAAATTAGATGCTGCTTCGCGGAAGTTCTTTATATACATTTTTTATTATTATTTTACTAACTAGCATAAAATTTTGGTCACTAACCTGTCGAAAGCTTATCAGTTTTTCGGAGTGAGAAACGTGCAAAATCAGCGATTGACTTGCCGATGCTACACGTATGAATTACTACTTAACACAAAGGCATGCACAGTGGAATACAACAATGCATTATACTCTCCCCACTTAAAGGACGAGACCCAGTCGAGCAAATTCGTGTAATTTCAAGTAAATCTTCGTTTTTAAAAGCATTTTTCTAGACGATGAAATAACATTTCCTGACAAAAATATCCTGACATAAATTTGCTTAGATTACTTTATTTAATTTTGTATATCAAAGGAGAGAAGTCATTGTCAATTTCTTTATCCTATTTAAAACAGAACACTCATCCTTCTTATAAATGCAATCACTAAAAAAAAATCATAGGAAAAACAAGAATTTCAACCATTTCAGATTAACTTAATTCAATCATTTCAGATTTTTAAATAAATATTTGTGAAAGAATATCTGCGTGAAACATAACCAGATGTAAATGGCAGTTACAAACTCATAATAAAATTGCACTTCACATTTAAATTCCTTTGGTTGATGCCAACGTCAAACTTGTGGAGCACCCTAAATAAATCTTTTTTTTTTTTTTTTTTTCAAAATATTTCTTTTGCAGTTTGACGTGGCATATGTGACTTGTAATACCTTCTTTCTCATCAAATGGAAAGGACAGAATATTTTTAAAAAAACTGAAAATAATGAGAATTTAAAAAAAGACTTTAAAAAATTCACATTTATTGTTACTTTAATATTAAGTAAAAGTTCCTTTAATGTATTAAAAGCGGAAAAAATATTTTGTGGAGACATTCTGAATTGTTTGCATTTATTATCGTTTCCAAGTAATAAACGTCAGCAGGGCATATTTTTCTCCATAAGTTAAATCGATTGTAATCATGTTGATGTAAGAAAAGTAATTGTTATGCTTCACGAAAGATCATTGATTATACACATTCAATGTAAAACAAATTGTTTTGTTGAACGACTGAAGCTGAAAACAAAACTTCCAATTCGTAAACTTGAGATCACAGTCTAATTAATGCCTTACAGAAAAGTTTGCCATTCAAACGTTTAAAATTGCTTTATAGCTTATAAAAAATTAAAAAATATAGAATCATATAAATATTTAGCGTTCTTCTTAAATAAAAGGAATATATCTAGTATTGACTTAAATAAACACAGAACTAGTGAAATCAAAACCTTATATTATAATCATTAAATACCTTACGTATCATCGACCCACCAGCGGCCGGGCGGTAAAGTCGCTGAACACTGGTAGTTCGGTCCGAGGTTCGAATCCCGCGAACGGGCTGGCTGCATGGGCGTTTCCGTGGTTTTCCCCATGTGTAACATGTATACGAGCCAGTTTTCCTTAGAACGTGGCATCCTCCACGAAGGCATCCCTCCTCTTAGGCAGATAGCCCTAGTGCGCTTTGCCATAATTAAATACACCAATACACCACCTTACGCATTATCCTTCGGCAACGATTTATCGGGTCTTATGATAATAAATCTCTCGAATATTTCCTTCGAAGTGCTTAAAAAATCACATTTTGGATATGCTTCATTGTATTTATTTAAATATGTTGATACACGTGTATTGTTATATTAAATTTTTAAAAAGCGTTTTTTGCTGCTTTTAAATCACTCCTTATTAAGAATAACAGATTTTTGAAACTAAATTTAAAATATTGCGCATTTTCAAATGAAAATACTCTAAAAATAACTATTTGCAACGCTGCATGGAAGTTTAACTAAGCATCATATGTTTCATGCAATGCTAAGACTTTTTAGATCACAGGGTATGTATTATCACCCATCTAAAAACAAGAATGTTATAAATGCAGTGGTAATCTAATTATTTCTCATTTCTGCATGTACACATACATGCTTAACCCGCGAGCACACGCGGCGGGTATGTCATACCCATGTGCATTTTTCTTTTTGTATATTTCTCGCCCATTCTTTCATAAAAGGATGAAACTTGGTGTAGCTGAGTTTCAAGGTCACATACATAAATGGGGGAAATTCCTGAGGTGGGAAGTGCAACGGTTTTTTAGAACCAGCATTGTTCGGGCATGTCATACCCGCGAGTGTACTGGGGTTTCTCAGTAAGTCACTTCGAACTTCTCGTTTTCAAGTTTTTAGTATAAGTTTTTCTTGAGTTGTAAGCATGGCCCCCGTGTATTCTTTACGATGAAGAGATGAAAATATTGAGAAATCTCCTTGAAACAGTTTCTTCTGATGATTATTCATTTACTGAAGAAGAGGAAGATGTTGATGGCGAAGAATATAATTAGCAATCATGATTCATCCATATAGAGTAGTGATTCAGATACAGAAACAGAAAATGAAACTCTGGAATGTAGCAATGAGTTTTATGTTGGGAAAAAATGGAGTAAAATGGAACAAAAAAAATTCCGGACTAATGTTAGAATTGGGGGCCAAAAATATTATAAGCTAAACTCCCTGGAAATACAAAGTATTCTAAAGACGTCTCAACACCATCTAGAGTCCTTGTCATTGCTTATCGATGAAGATAGTATGTTAAAACATGTAGTTGATAAATACAAATATTTATATTGATTCAATACGAGAAAATTTCACTCGTGAAGCGGGATGAGTACTTTTCTCAAAGCCTTAGGGATGCAGCTAATAGAAAATGTTCAAAATGAACGACGACGAGCATCTGTGGTTCCTGATTCTGGGACGAACTCTGACCACCGATGAACATGTTAACAATGGACCGCCTCCAAAAAAACCTGAAATGAATTACAAGAGGTGTACAGAGTGCTCCAAGAAAAACGACAGACAGAAAGACTAGATTCATTTGTGAAAAATTGTAGCAAAAGTATATATATGGAACATATGATGACCCCATTTTGTAAACAATGTTAAAAAAATTGTAAGTAAATAATTTTTCCTCTCCTTATTGTTTCCTATTTTATCTAAAATGAAATATTAATTTGGTTTTACATTTTAATTTCTTTTAAAAAAACGATTAATTTTTTTCGGCAAATTTTTATTTACAATATTCTTATTCGGGTATGACATACCCGGCGCGTGTTCTCGTGTTCGTCGGATCGGTGCGTGTGCTCGCGGGTTAAATATTTCACTCACAGTTTCAGAAAATTGCCTCATCAATCTTGTTATTATTAATATACTTGTTCCGAATTTATTGAGTTTCTTCGATTAAAAGAAAGACTTATGGCTTCGCTTAAATACCGTTTTTTATAAAATTTGAAAATTCAAAATAATTAAAGCGCAAGATTCGTTTTCCCATTCTGGCACATTCCTGTATTTATTCTAGTAGTTCATAATTCTAGCTCATTCATACTTCTTGTGACGTAAAATTATTAAAATTCGCATACTTACGTTGTCGAATATACCTTTATTTGCGCCTGCTTCAATCAATATGCCATACATGTTCCTATTATCTTTTAATGCTGCTGCATAGTGAAGAGCAGTTCGTCCCTCCTGAAGTTTAGAAAAATTTGAATTTTATAACATATATATATAAATGATTTGTTTTAAATATAATGATTATAGCATCCGCAAACGTTAAATTAGCGAATATCATCGGCATCAACCTTTCTACTTACTTACAGACAAAATTCTATATAAAATGCAAAATAATGTTAAAGATAAAAATTGAACAACTAATGGGAAATTAAAAATTTTAAGCAAAAACGTAGTAAGTAAAAGAATAAGAAAACGTATTATTTCTTCTTCCATTTTAAAGGAAAGCAAAATTTTTATTAACATAAAACAAATTTTAGCTTTCGAAACTAGCAGTAGTGGATTCAGTTGCTTCTAATTTTGCACGATAACATTTTTATGAATAAGTCTGTTTCTCAGAAAAGTATATGCATGATTCTATGTAAAGCTTTCAAAACAATCTTTAAATGGACAGGAACTAGTGCAGATTCCGAAAGAAATTCATGATTGTTTGAAAATCATTCTGATCACGCTATTCAATAAACATTCTCATCTGCTTTTCGCTTCTCTTCTTGTATCACTTATTCCAGTAATGTATAAAGGAAAGATGAAAATGAAAGAGAGAACGAAAACACGATAATGCGATTGATATAGCTTCAGCTTATAATGATAGCAGACTTTTTGCTGCCTGACAGTGATGAGGGATAAGTGTTTCTTAGATGACTAGATCTTGATAAAGGATCTAGGGGAAAGTTTTATTACGTTACTTAAGTAGATGTTGGTAAGCATGGTAGCCAAGCAGATGTAACCTTTTAAGCATTACTAACACTTTCTACTGAAATGCGTTTAGTTGGACATTTACTCTGCTCTCTTTGATTGCAAATTATTACAGCCTTCTACTTATTTTAAGTACACAACCCTAGTTGAAGTAAGCTTGATTTGCTTCATAAATGTGCATGAGTATTCATATTCAATTTATTACGTGAACCTGATCGCAATAAGAGAGGGAACGGCGATTTGGAAAATTAAATAACTCCATTGCAGTGTGTGTTAACTTCACTCCTAATCAATTAAGTTGCTTGAAGGAGAATGTCACCTTATAAAGTATTTCTCCCGCCTTCTTAGCATGCCTTCGTGGTGCAGTGGTCAGCATGCTCGGCGCGTGTTCGAGCGGTCCGTGGTTTGAATCCCAGTGAAGGCACTGCTCATTTTTCATGTCTCCTGCTTCCAAAAAATCCTAATGACTCTACAGTGGCGCTCGAACTAAAAAAGGTGGTGGATGATGATCCTCCACCACCAGGATTTGGAGATTGGTCCCTTAATCCCCAGTCGCCCTTAAAAGGGGGTATATAAAGTATTTCTTCCGCCTTCTTAGCATGCCTTCGGGGTGTAGTGGTCAGCACGCTCGGCGCGTATTCGAGAGGTCCTTGGTTCGAATCCCGGCGAGAGCATTGCTCATTTTTTATCTCTCCTGCCTCAAAATAACCCAATGTCTCTACAACCTAATAAATAATAGATCTAATACGTTTTCTATAACTAACTAATCATGTTGGTTAGCATTAGAATGAAACACGCTTTTACCTTTGTCGTTTACCTTTCTCAAGAATGCAGCTTTCAGTGGAATTCATAGAATAAGTTCCATTTCCACGACTACAGTTTGTTTTTCACATAAAATTTACTGCTAAATACGGTTATTTGTATTCAATAAATATCAAATAGCAAAACTTAATTTAATTTCGTTTAAGCACTAAGCTTCATTTAATTTAATGATTACATTAAAGTTCCTCATAAACTATTTAAGCGAGTTCAAAACTCTTGCTAAAAGAAAAGCTTTTCCTAGACCAACTAAATAACGAATTTAATTTGACGTTCTATAGAAATAATGTTTAGGATTAATTATAATGGAAATGTGACGTGTACCGTTTTATTTCGAGCCGTGTTTAACGCATGTAAACTAGAACTTCGAAATAAAAAAGACAGTTTCACACCTGACTACACTTATTCCGACGAATTACCCTTACATTACAAAAAGCGAATTATCGAAATATTTTATATTATTTTTGAAGTATATTCAAAGCACAAAAACTGTACATAACATTTCAACATGCATAAAAAAACTTAATTATAACAAAACATTATATCCTTTATCAAAATAAATTCATGATTGAATTGTACAATTTGATCCATGTTAACACGAAGTTTTTGCTTTCGAGACGATAGAACTCAATGGCTGTTTAAATTGCATAAATAATTTAATATAGTATTTCTTCCTCTTACTCTATAATTTTGGAATTATTTACAAGATCGATTAAAATTGCTTCTTAAATATATAAACTTCAACGATAATTTTCTTTCATTCAGCAGACTGAGCAAATTTAGCTCAGGTTTTGCATCTATTAGCTATAATTTATTTAAAAAGGAAGCCAAAGCGTTGCAAAGTATATCCATATAAAATATATATAAAGTATATATATAAAATATATATATAAATTATATTATATATTATAATAATATATATATATATATATATATATATATATCTATATATAATTATATATATAAGTATATATATAAAATTGAAATTTTATTTCAATATTACAGTAACGAATTTGCATAACATTTCAATTAGTTTAAATTTCATTTAAGATGCGTAACGCTCAGCTGAACAAAACAAAATGAATCTAAATCTTTAATAAAATTTAAAGGGCAGATAAAGGAGATAGAGAACATGTATAATTTATTTAGATGTTAATTTAGAAGTATTGAGATTATTTACAATAATTTTGAACGGTTTAACAGGAATTCTAGTCTGCTTTGTTCTATTTTTATTACATTTGCCTGGAATTTTATAGTAGCTATGCTTTTGAATTTAATAGCCCCTTTTATTAAGAATCTAAAGAGAGAAAATTATTCGAATCATAATTTGTCAAAATCTAATAAATATTCAGACTCTCAATTTAACAGGATGCTTGCTAAATACCGGTAAGTAATGAGGATAAAAAATCCTGTTATTAGTTGTTAGCATACATTAAGTAAACACCTGCGAACGAATAATCCCCTGAACTAAAAGACTCATTTAAAATGTCTAGAAATATTAACCTAATCTAGTTAATGTCTAGAAATATTAACCTAAATTAAATCGTATAACAACATGAAAAGCGACATAATTGAAATTCCTTTTGTTTAAATTATTTAAATATATCGGGACTGTATGGTTCATTTCCCATTATTTCGTTTTCTGTAATGAAAATTCGAATATATATATATGTGATAATAAAATTTCATAATCAAGAATACACTTAAAATTCTAACTGTATATGTTCTTTCTCTTCCATTGGAATTATTTTCTTTTTGGGTACACCTATCCTGCCGACTCCTTGCGATGTACCAGCTTTTGTCAAAAATAAATAGATTGGTGAAGAATCATAAATGTAGTCGTAGCTTAAATTATCAGACGATAAGTTTAAAAAACAGAATCCATTTATTATATCAGGAGAAATAGCAGTTACAAAATCATATTTCCGGAGTAAATAAAAAGGAATTACTAATAACTTTTTGTATGAAGTTAACTGCATCGTGACATTTAAGAAAAAGGGCCCCGATATTCTTTTGCGAGTCCTTTTATAGCCTCTGGAAAGGCGGAGCTTCAAAGAAATGACGTCAGCCTCGTCAGCCAATCCAGTTCGCTTTAAATATTTCCAGAACATTCTATAACTGTACGTGTAGAAAAGGCGGGAAAAACAACTTGACTACGGGGCTGTGGATTTAATTCCACGTATTTTCAAATAAGAGACCGTCGCCATTGAAAATGGAAAGAACATACAGTTAGAACTTTAAAAGTATTCTTAATTATGGAATTTTATTTTCACAAATATAAAAAAGTATTTTAAAATATATAAAATAAACCATATTTGTGATAATAAAATTCTATAATCAAGAATACACTTAAAATTCTAACTGTATGTTCTTTCCATTTTTAATGACGACGGTCTCTTATTTGAAAGTACGTGGAATTAAATCCACAGCCTTATATATCCAGTTTCATTAGAAGATACATATATCGACGAATAGGCTGCGAGAAGTTTGGTTTCATGATACCTTATATACAAAAATTACATTTTTATTCCGACCTATTATGGCAAAAATATTAGCTCAATCAGTAAAACAAAACGTCTAAGCTCATATGATCGAAATTACGCAAGATACTACCACGACTTTTGGGATTTTTACAAAGGCATTGTCATAAACAGCTATCAAAATCAAGTTTTTTAATGTATTCTTGTGAAAGTTAGTTTTGCCCTATTATTATTTAGATATGGCATTTGAATTTCTATTCACATTAATTATAAAATTAGAAGTTTTATATTTACAGAAATTCAGTTTTTATACGATCATTACAAAATACAATTCTGCTTTTCTCTTCAGCTGCTGAGAATGATTTAAGTATTGTAATTTTGAGACTTTATTTTAGAAAGTTCTATATTTTACGCCTGAAATGCTTTAATAAGATAAGTAATGAAATTGTTGTTTTTATTACTTTTCCACATGTCCTTGCATTTGGCCAGCGAGACTCATGAATAATCAAAATATATCTTTTGTTGGAAAATCTCTTGGGACAGCTGTGACGACCGAATAGCTTGGATTAACTCCACTCAGTTTTGATCCCTACCATTGGCTTCTCTATAAGACTTCTGAGATTCTCTTCGCCTAACATCAGCCTCACCGGAAAGTTATCCAGGAGAAATAACTTTCTGATTAAAACTTTCTTTGTAGAAGAGCAATATATTATTTTTAATAAAAAGTGACCAAAACTATTTAGTCCTAAAACTTATCTTATTTGATCTTTTCTTAAATTAGAGTCATGGATTACAATAAAATATTCAAAAAATATTCAATCGTTCAAAACAGTTTTTAGCATCATGTATGGGGCGCTAACATTCATGTTATAAGGAATTTTGTTACTTATTTACCGCGTACCTTCGTGGTGTAACTGAAAGCAGGTCTTGATAGCAAACGGGATATTCGTAGTTCGTATCTTTTAAAGATTGGGTCCAATTAGTGTGTCATTTAAGTTACAGTTTCAAGCGCTTCTAGAAAATATTTTAGGCAATTCTTTTCACTGCGATGTTTCCCAACATAAGTGTTTCAGTTCGTAAAAGAAGAGATACTAAAACAAGGGCATAGAAATATAACTTGTAAGGTATATTTTAATTTTAAAGCAGTTATTTTAATTTCGAAACTCTTCCCTATCAATTCTTGTTTCCCTTTACAACTCCCTACCACAATGAGATTTTAGAATAGCGTTGAATGTAAATGAGTTAGAAGACGTCTTTAAGGAAGGTACAACTAACTTCAATACAGAGTGCTAGGAGACCTTAGTAGCGTGTGATTGCCTTCTGGCTAACTCACTCTTGAGTCTCGTATATTACGTGCCTAGTGATATTCGCCGGCTAGTTTAATTTAAGGGCCAACTACGTTAGGTACTTGTGTTTAGCTTCGGCTAAGTCTTGTTTAGTTTCTTATTTTCTTATTCTGAGTTAAAGTCCGAGTAGAGGCTTCCTGTAAGCCTGAGAAGGGGCTAACTGTTATTCTTATTTGAGTGAATAAAAGGGTATTATAATCCTTCTTGAGTCTAAGTCTTAGTTGCTGTGAATTCAGCGATAAGTTGCTACACATTTCACTAGGCTCCGCGACAAGTTGCTACACAGTTCGCTAGGCTCTGCGACGTTCGTCTTAGACAAATGGAGTTAGGAACCCTACAAACTCTAAATTGCCCCATGGGAAATATAGAAATGTATTAGCATGCAGAATTTTTTTTAAATTCTATTACGCTCTAAAAGGTAAATTAAAATGTAAAGTCAAAGAAGTTTTGAACAATCTCTAATGAATATGAACATATAAGAAAATTTCTCGGCCTCAGCGTTTTCAAACAGAAGCAGAAATATAACCTGCATTGCTCTAAAAATACCTGTTTTCAGGACAGATGCTAAGAAAACTGGTGGTTCATAATCAGGCGCAGGACCTGATTTACATGAGAGATGATTTTACAAAAAAATTCACTTTCAGTTTTTTTATTTTGAAAACAACTGCCGATAAGTGGAAAGTTTGTTTTGAAAACACACTGAAAGTTTGAAAACACACTGTGAGTTTGTTACGTTTATATAGGTGCGCATTTTAAAAATTTTTATAACTTTTTATGGTAAGTTTCTCTTCCGCTGACAAAAGAAATAATTTCTTCCGCTATGGACAGAATTTGAATTTCTTTAAAATAGTATTTACGCAATAATTAAGTTGTAAGTAAACAATTTAGTTGCATTAAAAAGAGCTGCTGATAAACAATTCAATTGCATAAATTTTAAATTTTAGATTTCTTTCATTCATATGATTATTCATACACATGATTACAGCTGATAAATAATTTAACTGGATTAATATCGTAATTTTTATTAAGGTTTGTAATGAAATCAAAAATAATTCTTTAGGGTCTTTCCTTCATCTCTAATTTTTCCATCAAAAAGTAAGATTATATTTTATCCAACACAAAATAAACTGGAAGCATGAAATCAAAGCATACAAAATGTGAAATTTTGTTTACTTTGTCTAAATAACTTTAAATGAAAAAATATGAGTTATTAGGTATTTCGTTGAATAGTTCATATAAATACCACCACTTATACCTACTAATTCGATAAAATAATTATGTAGCCTTTGCGCAAGAGATTTGGCCCCGTCGTCCATATTTGTGCATTGGACCCTAATTAGATGAATGAAATGATGAATTGCTTTTGAATATATTCAATAAAATGACAATCGTTTTTTGAACCCAAGCATATTAGGAGAAATTTAGTAACATGAAGCATTTTTAATCGACACCACTGAAGATCAATTTGTACATTAAAAACACCTTTCAGACTCTATTTAAACAGTAAATCATTGAGAAGTAGTATCTCTTTTTACCGTTTTTCCCGAAACAAAAAAAGAAAAAGGATGTGAGATGATCAACATGGAAGCAACTCACTCAGAAAGGATAAATGATTTTCAGCAGCAAATATTATAGGAATAAAAATAGTCATACTTTATATTACTGACTGCATATGAACACAGCGTAATTAATAATTAGATTCATCTCAGTTGCCTTTGTGTTGAATTGCAATAGATACACTTAAGCATTTATTAGATTTCGTAGAAAGCATAAATAGTACAGTTAGAGTTAAATTGTGAACTATATATAAATTAAAGTATTTTTAAGATAATATATTATAAACTGTAATAATTCTTAAAATGTAACCTTGTGATTTTTTTTTTTTTTTTGGAAGCAGAAGAGATTAAACATTAGCAACGCCTTCGCCGGGAATCGGACCACGGACCTCTGGAATACGTGCCCCGCTTGCAGACCACCATACCACGAAAGCACGCAAAGAGGGTGATAGAAATACCGTGTATACTTTCCCTTTTAAAGGGCGACTGGGGTTTTTAGGGGACCCAGTCGCCAAATCCTGGGTGGAGAGAATCATCATCCATCACCCTTTTAGTTCGGCGCCACTTCTGTAGACATTGGGATTATTTTTGGAAGCAGAAGAGATGAAAAATTAGCAACGCCTTCCCCGGGAACCAAACCACAGACATCTGGAATACGCGCCCAGTGTGCAGACCACCAGACCTCGAAGGCACGCCAAGAAGGTGGGAGAAATACCTTAGAACCTTTTTTCAGATATATGAATAATTAAACCTCCAAGGAAGAAAAGTAGCCTTTGTCAAAATTGAGGGCCCACCAGCGGCCGAGCGGTAAAGTCGCTGAACACTGGTAGTTCGGTCCGAGGTTCGAATCCCGCGAACGGGCTGGCTGCATGGGTGTTTTCGTGATTTTCCCCATGTGTAACGTGTATACGAGTCAGTTTCCCTTAGAAAGTCCTCCACGAAGGCATCCCTCCCCTTAGGCAGATAGCCCCAGTGTGCTTTGCTATAATTAAATACACCACCACCTTGTCAAAATTGCATCTATAGCACTACAAACTAAATAATGCTGTAAATATAATAATGAGGAAAAGCTGCTTGTTCATCGGCAAAATTACATTTTTAATAAGAATAATTTTTCAATAAAAGTAGTTTGTAAATAAAAATAAAAACATTTTGCAGTCTGTAAAGAAAGACCATGTTGTGAACCATTCATTAAAATCTCATTAAAGAGCGACTAACCATGTCTATAGCATTTAGTGTCTCTGGAAATTGGTGACTGATATAATGGGCAATTTTGTAATGCCCAAACCAGACAGCTTTATGCAGAGGGGTAGCTCCAAGTTGATCTCTGGCCATAGCTAGCTTTCTATTTTCTAAGAGTATGACTACATGTTCCAGCTGATCTCTCATCACTGCTCGGTGAACGTCGTAAATTCTTTCCTAAGGAATATTAAAAATAAGATGTAGATGCTAAAATATTACACATGCACTTTATATAATAGCAACAAAAATGTTTTATTACAAAAATTATTTTTTAGAGAATGCTTATCTGATATCAAGGAACAATGAAGAAAATTAATTTTCTGTTGCTGTTTTTGAAATTATATGTTGAATTTGAAATACAGGAAATATCCTTTTTGTGAAATACGTTTTGTTTCTTACCTTAAAATACTCCAACGTGAGCACAGAAGTATTCTACATAAGTTGCCTGAAGTTTGTATCTGTAACTTCCAGTTCAATTACAGAAACATTTTTAAAATGTGCATTATTAATTGCATTATTATTTGTATTAGGGATATCATCGGAAAAAATCATTGTTATAATGTAAATTGTATCATTGGAATGGGGGTCTTGATACTTAATTTTGTGCTTCGCTCTCACTTCTTGGGCGGCATTGTTACTTATTTTAGGCCGCATGCGAGCTGCGGGTTGGACACTCCTGCCCTACTCATTACCTATACGCAATGCAATGCACGCTGTAGTGCAAACATTGAAGGCTGGAGAGACATCAGCATTGCATCTGCAGCTCCGTTCATTCTTTGGTTCACATAATTAAATGACTGATGTCTTTCTCACGCGATGATAACCTATTCTTACTCCGTCTGTACACGCTCATTACTTTCAAGCACCGCTGAAATTCGGCCGGAATTGGTGCAGTCCTAGTGCAGGTTTCCTAGAGTGACTTAAAATTCAAGAGCTTTCACCACCTCAGATATAAATGCGCATAATTATCTCCAGCCCCTGCAATTTGCCTGCTCTTAAATAATGATAAATTATGCAGGAGAACCTTTGCTTACAAAATCTATATTAAAGTACGGGATCTAAGGTTATATTTAATGTTACGGTATTTCAGTTTCAATAAATATTATTACATAGAAAATAGAAAATGAAACAGTATATTTTGCAACCAACAAATGTAATACATTTATAATAATATATTAGCATCAGAATTAGGAAATGTAAGAGATGTAAAATTATTCAAAGTGCAATGTCTGGAATAATTAATTACATTCTTTAATCTTAATTACATTCCTTAATTCTTAATTGCATTCTGAGTATTCTGTCTTTAATAACGTGCATCACCTTAAGAAACCTTTGCGATATTTAATAGGAACAGGAAAGGAAATCACTTCCACAGGTATTTATCATGTTTGATAAGAATCTTGAGTATCTTCTAGACTCTGCATTATCCAAGGCGCTTTCACGATCTTTGATTATTTTCAGTACACTGTAACCATATTTTTAGCGGATTGCTTTATTTTTTCGCTTTAGCGTATAGCGTGCGCAATATCAGTGATATTTCGGAGAGTTCCTTTTCAAAGATTACCCCAATTATACGAGAATTTCAAACTGTTAATGCTGATTCTGGTCATGAAAATAGTTCTGATTACTTTTACTTTTCTGATTATATGCATTGTTCGCTACAATTTCCACGAATTCATTTTATTATATCCTGTTTCATTTATTATAACTTGTAACCATATTTTTAGCGGATTGCTTAATTTTTTCGCTTTAGCGTATAGCGTGCGCAATATCAGTGATATTTCGGAGAGTTCCTTTTCAAAGATACCCCAATTATACGAGAATTTCAAACTGTTAATGCTGATTCTGGTCATGAAATAGTCTGATTACTTATTTACTTTTCTGGAATTATATTGCATTGTTCGCTACAATTTCCACGAATTCATTTATTATATCCTGTTTCATTTATTATAACTTGTAACCATATTTTTAGCGGATTGCTTTATTTTTTCGCTTTAGCGTATAGCGTGCGCAATATCAGTGATATTTCGGAGAGTCCCTTTTCAAAGACTACCCCAATTATACGAGAATTTCAAACTGTTAAAGCTGATTCAGGTCATGAAATAGTCTGATTACTTATTTACTTTTCTGGAATTATATTGCATTGTTCGCTACAATTTTCACGAATTCATTTATTATATCCTGTTTCATTTGACTTCAATTTTACCTGCAAATAAACAACAAACATAAGAGAGAGAGCTGTTGAAAAATAAATTGCATCATGCAGAATCTAAATCCATGAACGCTCTTGTTCCTGCGCTCACTTTCAACCCATGTTTTAGTTTTCTCCATTACCAAGCTAAAGATTACTTGACGAAAGATAAATTTATTAGAAAACACTCAACTCTCATTCAGTAAATTTTATAGCAGTATTTTATTAGGATCACCTCAAACGTAGATTTATGGTATTATTACTCGACAAAAAATCCCTTACCATGTACATTGGCACAATACTTAAAAAAGACTGGATTTTAGGAACAGCGGATGTTTCTCCCAGAAGTCTGTCTCCTTGCCCTTGTAGAACTAAATCTTCTAACGCACTCAAGTTGCCTTCTGATATGAGCTCTCGTATCTGAGATTTCGTCACTGTCAGTTCTGAAACAGAAGACTTTCAATTATTTAAATATGCATTAGAAGTTTAAAATAATTTTATGTATTGCTTTCTGCTCTCTCAAATTTTATCAAGTACTTCTTTCATCAGTCTACCTTTGTAATGTGTTTTTAAATACAATGCATAAAATTATTAAGTTTTTTTTTTATTAAAGGCAAAGAATGCATCAGAATCCTGGGAATTCAACTTCGTTTAATATTATTAGAATTACAAATTTCATGTGGATTTATTAGTTCATTACAAACAAGAACATTTTTAACATTTAAAGTTATTTTCTATATATTAAAACTTACTTACGTTCTTCTACTATCCAACATTTAAAGGAAACACTTTAGGTGCTAAAATTAACTGAAGAGAGCACGGAGATATATATAATAGGAGTAATACAGAAATCGAGAGTTAGGAAATAACCTACAGATCATTCGAAGAAACCGACTGAAGGTTTTGTTTTTTAAAACAGACTTTCGACATAAAGTGCTTCTCAAAATAAAATAAAAAATTTTGTGAAAACCGTTTCAGCATTGAAAATAGAGGGTTCTTTAAATATGAAATTTCAAGTTCTGTGAGGTTTCTCAGAGAATAAAAATCCAATTACCGTAGTGTTCTTCATGCTTCAGTAAGTTATATATACTACTTTCTATGCATTTATACAAAATTTCACAAACTTATATTTAATTAAAAATTTCATTAGTTACAAAGTTGTTTTCATAGAAGTTTCTTATTCTGGGAAACTATAAACGGAAGTATATGTATTTAATCAATATTTAAGGATATGGAGCCTGTTAGAAAAGTTTTTCAATAAATATGAAGTACTATTAAAGCTTATTTGTATAGATGCACTATTATTTGTTACTTTAAGAACGGATAGGACCAAAAATTCTCCGTTTTCAACCAAACAGAAAAGTTTTGCTCATGGGAAATAATTATGTGCCGTACTCATCATACACGATTTGAAACTTTATTTCCTTTGTCATACAGTAGAAGTCCGATAATCCGGCACGTTCGGGACCGGCTCGGTGCCGCGATACCGAATTCGTCTCTCGGGCGGTAATTATAAGAACAATTAGGTTAATAATTAACTAAAATACAGTATGCAAATACGAGTACATACAACAAAGTTTATTTTACATTCTATAATGATGTACACGTACTGTAAACATATTTCACTTAGATTAAAAAAGTAACGAATCCTTTTTGTTTTTTGATTTTGGCGTAGTATAAAATTTATTCTAATGATGAGAGTCAGTGGTACGTGTTTCGTTTCTCTCCTTTTGAACTCGAAGGCTTAGGTTTTGAAAACATGTCACTGTACAGTTAGAACGAAAAATCACTTTTTTTATAACAGTTTCAAAGTTTAGTTACTGCGATGTGAAAGGACACAAAACAACAAGAACAAAAAAAATGGCGAGACGCTTCGTGATTGATTAACGGAGCTGCCTGCCCTGAATTTTTTGACAGCTGAGACTAGCCGGACGCAATTGTTTCCGAACACTACGAGCGAGCAGATGATTGAACTAAGAAAACTTCAGAAAAGGAGCGGTTTAGACGACAGGGAAAACCAAAATTTTTACAATTTTCCGGAGCGATGCCGGACTATCGGGCATTCCGGACTGTTGGATGCCGGACTAATGGACTTCTACTGTACTTAAAAATAGCCCTACCGCAAAAAAATGTACTTAATAACAAAATCAGGTCTCCTTTCAAAAACAGATGATTCAATTATTAAACATGTTAATTTGTAGTACAATGCAACTAGCAAGTCAACGTGTATAAAACTAGACATAGTAACAACAGAATTCAGTATACATGTAAAATACTGTTAAAAAAGCTCATATTTTATAGCTATATCTATAAAAACAGAGTAGTTAAATAAGCTGATACCTCAAGTATCCAATTTTATTGGAAATACTTAAGCAAAGTCATTGCATGTTTTGAGACGGTAAGCAAAATGTTTTCATGCATTAGCTCAAATTTCAGAAGAAATATTGTTCACTTCCTCGGTTATAGTTTTAAATCGCCAATTTTGAAATATCACGCATTGAAATGTAATGTTTAAAGTAGGTTAAATGGAAGAATCTGCTGCTGTGTTTCACATGAGGTTAATTTCGGAGCCGGAAATAGGAATATTCATCAATGCCCTTACCAGTATTCAAAATCTTCCGATTGCTAGCCGAACATGCTTCCCATCATACTATGAAGGTACCTAATATAAGGAGGAAAAAAAGTACCTCACACAGTTGCCTGTTTATGGTTATTCGAATAATGGCAAAGCCTGCAAGGGGTGCCTGCTTAAAAAGAGGGATGCCTTCAAGGAAGACTTTCTAAGGGTGTAGAGACATTAGCTGATCTCGAAGCAGGAGAGACAAAAAATGAGCAACGCCTTCATCGGGAATCGAACCACGGATTTCTGGAATACACGCCCAGCATGCAGACCACTACACCACGAAGGCACGCTAAGAAGGTGGGAGAAATACCTTATATACTCCCCCTTTGAAAG